ACTATGATGGTTTCCTAATGGTTTCTGTAGGTAATTCTTGATCTCCCACCCAAACCACAGACGCCGGGAACGTCTTCTTCTCCCAGCATTTCACATGTGGTTCTTCAGTGGTAAGAACACTGTCATTACTTGATGTGATAAACTGCACACCACCATCCAGGACAAAGCTGGTTTTCACATTTGTGACTCTGCTATCTGAAATCACCCCTCTGCTATCCTCGTATCTTTGTATCACCAAAACAAGACACAACGTACTACATGAAATGAAAATCCTGAAATATGTATGGTTGGCAGGCACAAGACAATTCCAGACGCTCACGAGACACCATGGAAACAACACTGCTGTTGACACTAAAAGTCAAGGAAGTATTTGAAAATTAGCTCAGCCTTCAAACCAAAACGCAACTGTTACCTTACCTACTTGTCCATACTATCTATTCACATCTCTGACGTGAAGCAAATGCCATCTGTACAACTCTGAACTGAATCATTCACCCAGAACCTCTGGTTTACGGGTATTTTCCTCTCTGTCCTGCATGGCTACATCATGGTCTCTGAAGTGGCCTGGGCCACAGGTCTCCTGACCTACTGTGCCCGGGGCGGGGCGGGGGGGGGGGGGGGGGGTTCCCACAACAGGACCCCGTGTCAGGGTTGTCACGTATTCCCCATACATAGCATCACACGAGGAGTGAGGTGTGTACTGGACAGAGGTGGGAGAATGTCCTGGCTTCCCTCCTCTTCTCCCAACAAGGTCTGAGGGCTTTCACAGAGTTTGACGTCCCCACCCAGGTGGGACACTGGGATGACAGTCGTCATGTACTGGATCAGACTGGGCACAAGAACCACAGAGCTCCAGCCTTGGTGGTTTCGAGAGGGTCAGATGTGTCCCCCTGCCCTCAGAGGGTACAGGAAGCAGGGACTTCACCCAGCCACCCAGGCCTGGCCCAAGTGCCTGGTGAGGGAGGACAAGAGTGACCGCAGTGCAGACTGTAGGTGAAGCCACACCAAGCCCGGGGCCTCCGAGAAGCAAGGGCTAAGCAGAGCCCGCCAGGGAGACAACTGCCCTGACTTCGGGCACTGTACCCCAGGGCCCCAGTCATCCTGCACAGCAGACTCCTTCGCCCCTGAGTTAAGTGCAGCTTCAGCCGCTGGCGTACCGGACCCACTTTGAAAGTAAGGAACCTGAAGTTCAGGCAGGTTGAGCACCTCTCCGCTGCCCCCAGCTGAACTGGACACAGGGGCTCTGGGTGGGGAAACCGGGTCTCCTGACTGCTGGCTCACCCTTCTTCCCTAAAGGACAACCTTCTCCCAAAGGTCGACCGCCTCAGGGTGAGGTACCTCATAAGATGTCTCTTAAAAACACCTAGAAGCTACAGGCAGGCCCCAGATTATGAAAAATATACTTTCTGTACACTGATTCACTGATTCTTAAGCACAAGCACAGTAAAGCCAGGTGACACCACCCGACTGTGGAGACGGTGCATCTTAGGACTAGCTCCCCGGACTCTGTGGAACAAAGTACCTGGGGGGGGGGAGGGAAAGGGACAGCACTGGAAACGGAGGGTCTCACTCTACCTCCACCTCAGGCATCCCCTCAGCCCAACTGTCCTGCCAGGGCAGCAACTTCAGGGCATTCCTGGGACCTCTACCCCCTACCTCCCAACAGGTGACCTCCTCCCACCCTGTCCACCTGTTCAAACTCAGCCTGCAGCTCCCCTGACCTCGCAGCCAGGCACATTTTCCCTAAGAGAAGCCTGTTACTCAGCCACGCAGGGCTTCACAGCATTATTTATTGCGGTGAGGCAGGCACTAGCATTATCCCCATTTATAGACCAAGAAATTGAGACGCACTAGTTCGCCCAGAATCATCCAGATTGTGAACTGGCGAAACGGGGAAGGGCATGAGGGCTGTTTCCTGGCCCGTGTTTCCAAAGACTGTGAATCCGGTCTCAAGTGTGTCCTCAGGCCACTCTGGGCACATGGTAGGGCCAGAGGAGCATTTATTTTGGTATCAAGCAGATCCACTGGTTTCTGATCTGCAGCTTACCTTCTGTCTAGCTGAGCACGCTGTTTGAATAACAAACCCCAGTGTCTGCACACATTTAAAAGCTAAGCAACAAAAATGCAAGATAATTGGTGCAGTTACTAAACCATTGCTACCTTCCCTTTACCAACTCAAAAAAAATTTAATTCAGACATGTACTACAAAAAAATTTATTTTTTACTGAAGTTGGCAAGAGCCTATTCTTATAAAAAAAGAAAAGACATATTTGTGTGGAGAGAAGCCAAATGAGAACTTCCTTTCCTCCACAAGCCTTTTCCTCCCAAGCCCACAGCAAAGTTCTCCATCCATTAAAATTGAAACTGTAAAGCGGTAAGTAATCAGCCAAAGGGACCTCCCACAGCTAGGCTGTGATTATTTCTCAAATATAATGGAAATTTTATTTTTCTGAAGTGAAAAAACTGTAAAATGCCAGTACTGTTCACTCCCTTACTGGTCCATGCTCATCACTCCAGGTGGAGATTTCCATGGTCTGTAAGACAAATAGCTCCTCCAAGAATCCTTCCCAAAGGTTACCGGCATGCTGTCACAACTGACCTTCTTTCTGCCTGTTAAGGGGGCCGTGAGGGAAGCAGAGGTTGCCCTGAGGCAGGAGGGGGGATGTCCTGGGCGTGGTAAGTGCATCCAAAGGAAGCTCAGGGCACATCCCAGAGGAGGCCTCACTAGAAAGCTCAAGGCCAGAAGCAGGCTGAGAAGTTCTGTGAAGCACAGGAAACATGCTTTCTACTCCTCTCCTAAATGCCACCATTACAGTTTAGCTTTATTATTCACTTAAACAAACATCTGCTTGCTAAAATAGGAAAATGCATAAGTCACAAGAAGCACAAATTCTAACAACTCTCCATTTTACTAGTGGAAAGTGGATTGCTGCTCCAAGCCACACCTTGGGCAAGAACCAAGAACAGATCTGACACAAGGCTAACCCAGGAAACCTTCTCCATCCGAGCCACACTCAAGTATGCAAACGAAAGCAAACTTCTCCTCACCCGACTGCCAAAATTCTAACTGAAGTTTCAGCATCACTTCACCTCACATACAGGTAGCCATTTACAGGGGACAGAGCACTTTCACGCCAGCGCCTCGTTTCATTTTAGCAGCCACACGTGGAGAGAGTGGAGCAGTCAGTCCCTGCTGTTCCTCCTTTCACAGGTGAGGATGCCTCTCCAACAGAAAAGCAGGCTTGAGGTCAAGCAAGCAGACCAAGGTCAGAGGACCAGAGGAATGAGTCCAAGAACTTGATTGGGCACCAGAGCCAGGGCTTCTGAAGCCACAAACAAACCCTCGAAGGAACCACAGCAGCTCACACATAATAACTTACACATATCTGTAACTGGGAACGAAAACCTATTTTTTTACAAAACAAAGCCAATAAAACAAATTAACATTTCCCTAATTGATCAGCAACTTTCACACCAAAATAAGCTTCTATGAGGCAAGTTTTGACTTCTGAAACATACAGAATGACCATATACGTACATCTTCAAGTAAGTATACTTACATCAAAAGTCTTTACCAAAAAACCAAGTAAGGCCATGATTTCAGAGGCCAGTCCTCCTCAGCTGAGAAGGAGGCAGAAGCAGCAAGCCTAACTGCACACATTTGGCCCAGATCTCCAAAATGGGCCCTCCATTAGCGCCTGAGGTATTTCCTTCTTAAAATTATCAGGACCACGTAATAAATTTAAATTGCCATTTCCCAAGGAACTAAGTGACAGTTTTTTCATGCAGAACTCACTAGAAAATGGTGTTACATTTGCTACCTATAAAAATGCTGCAAACGTGGCCTGAAACAAAAGGGATGTTAAGAACAATTCACTTGAACTTCCCTGGTGGTGCCGTGGTTAAAAATCCACCTGCCAATGCAGGGGACACAGGTTCGATCCCTGGTCTGGGAAGATCCCACATGCTGCAGAGCAACTAAGCCTGTGCACCACAACTACTGAGCATATGCTCTAGAGACTGCGGGCCACAACTACTGAGCCTGCGTGCCACAACTACTGAAGCCCGTGCACCTAGAGCCTGTGCTCCGCAACAAGAGAAGCCACCGCAATGAGAAGCCTGCACACCGCAACGAAAAGTAGCCCCCGCTCGCCGCAACTACAGAAAGCCCGCGCACAGCAAGGAAGACCTAACACAGCCAAAAATAAATAACCAAATTTATTAAAAAAAAAAAAAATTCACTTGTACAATTAACAAAAAGCAGAATGCTAAAATATAAATAGACACAAGCAGAAAACAATGGGGAACTGGCAGATCGGGAACAAAAAAGCCATAATATTCTCAACAACCTGAGAATACCACGACAAATACTGTAGACTGTTACTCATTTACATCAGGCCACAGATGTTTTCACCACTTACTACACCAGGGGAGATGTTTTCATGGCACCCAAGGAAACCTTAGTTGAAACTCAAAGGCCACATCTTGATGCCCTTAAAATTTTCAAGCCTAGCATACTTGAAGTGGAGGGTGATGAGCCCAAGTCAGACCCTTCGGATCACTCATTTTCGGCTTATCAATCTTTCCCCAAATGAGCTTCAAAAGCCCATTTCTTTGTTGTATTTCCACACATCTGAGTCTGGGGAAGAGATACAGCATGTATTTTCTCAATCTATTTCTAAGCTATTGTCCGCTGTTTAAAATAACCTATCATATGAATCATCAAGGAGCCTTTGGGGGGAAAAACCCAACCTTCAGAAATCTATTGTGTTTGCCCAGAGAAGGAATACTTATTGCCTCTTAACATAGTTTAAATACAGAAAGTCTCTTTGGAGGAGGAAAGGGTCTTGTCCCCCTGCAAAGTGCCACCTAAAGTGTGGGTGCTGGACAAATGTGGGAGCAGGAGCAGGGTGGAGGCAGGGAGGCGGGGAGGGAAGGGTCCCTTCTCCACCCCCGGGGAGCGCAGGGCACACCCTGAAAGGGGCTGGGGTCCCCCGTACCTTTTCCGCGGGGCCCTGAGCTGCCCGCGCTGCTGCTCCCCCCGGCGCAGGACGAGTCCTTCCTGAGCCTCTTGCTCTGCGGCCTCACGCTGGACCTGAGGAAGTGGTGCTGGTCCTGGGGGCAGGCGGGCGGCGGGGACGGGGCCTGCGGGCCGCCCGAGGGGGCCTGGGGTCCGTCGCCGCCGTCCCGGGGGGTCTTGCCGTCCCTCTTTGTGCCACCGCTCTCCTCGGCCGCGTCCCCGCTGCCGGGCCCCTCTCCTTCCAGCGAGTCCTCATCGGCCGACCTCTTGCCCAGCCTCTTGAGCCCTTCCTCCCCGCCGCCGCCGTCTCCCAACTTCACTGTCATCCTGGCCGGGAAGGGGAAGAGGGGACCCCGGTGAGGCGCGCGGCCCGCAGCCTGCGAGAAGTTTAGCCGCACCGATCCCCTCTCAACATGGCCGCCGTTGTTTGTTCCAGATCCCCTCCCGCGGCCCGCCCGCCCCGGCCCGGCCAGCCGGGCCTGAGCCGCCGCCCGCCCGACCCCAGCCCGGACCCCCGCGCGCCCGCCCGCCCGACGTCCAGGAAACGGCGGCCGGCGGCGAGGAGGCGGCGGGGTGGCAGCTGGGCGGCCGCACCCGGACGGCCCTGCCCGTGCGGCGCCCCGGCCCGGGGTCGGGAAGGGGGCATGTGGCCCGGGCTGGGGTCCCGGGGTCCCGGAGCCACCTACCCAGCGGGCCCACGGCTCATGGCCTGCGCGCTGGGCAGCCCGCACGCCGGCCTCGCTCCCAGCGCTGCCTGGGCCGGCCTGGCCTCCGCGCCCGCGTCCCCCGACCCCACCCCTCCCCGCCCCCCAAAACGCACAGGACTCCGGGCCCGCGCACCTGCCCCGCAAGCCTGCCCCCAAAGTTAGCCCCGCAGCGGGGTCGAGGGGCCCGGATCGATCCCGGCAGGGGAGAGGCGCGGGCTCGCCTGCGTGCACAGGGAACTCCATGGTGGCCCGCGGCTGCCGGTACGCCTGCTTATTTTAAAACAGACATAAAGAATAATAAGCTCGGGGTTTCTGGGAATCTCGCTTCGGAGGGTGGGATATGTGTGCTGCTGCGGGGATTTACGAATTGAAAATGCTTTTGCAACAAAGGAGCCTGTTGCATGGAACAGGTTGGAGCCACCTATGAAAGTGACAGCACAGTTATGTCCAGGTAAGAATGGATAGAAGAGAATTGTGTTAAAACTCTCGGTAACCATGAATAAAAATCTCGCATTAACTTTGTTACCCTCTGTTGTGAGCAATGTCAACAACAAAATGTGACAACTCTAAAATGTGGACCAAAAAGCAGATCCACTCAGTTTATGCAAAGAGAATCAGACACTATCAATATTGTAAACCCAGAAATAGTCAGTAATGTGTACATGCGATGAAGCAAGAAAGATCAACAGGTGTTGATACTATGCCCAAACTCTGTTTGACATGCTCAACACGACTGCTGAGAATGGGAACATTTTCATTTAAAAGGAAAATGAGAGCAAGACATCAAGGCCAACAATGAAATACATTAACAGGAGTAAGGACCTTTCAAAGAAAGATTTGGAAATGATTAAAATCATGACAATACCTGCTACTGCTCTTAAGTATTATGCCTCAAAACTATCTGTTACAGCATTCATTTGTTGAAATTGATGTCATAAATCATCTGAATTCATACCAGTTTAAAAAAAAACCTGCCAAAGAATAGAATTATACAAGACAGATACTACCCAAACTTAAAGGACTTCATGGCATAGGACATTTCACTATTCACTTATCCTATCCGTTTCTACTTAAGAAACCTGAAAATATCCTAAAGGGCCTTCCTCTGGGTTATAATGTGGAAAACCCTATCCCCAGGGACATATCATCCCAAAGCTACCCACAGAACCCAGGACCCGGGCAAAGGTTACATCAGCTGCAACAGAATAAACTTGCCCGTTCGCCAGGTTGAATATTGGAAGACACTAAACTGAATACAAAAGGACGTTGCTTTTCAGAATTAAAAAGATATTAATACATTTCAGAGTTTTCCCTGAAGGGAAAAAGAAAACATGGAGATGGAATCCTTTTACCCAATACCTCCAACCTTACTTCCTGACCGTGCACAGAGGTGGGATCACCTCAAACCCAATCCCGGCTGGGCAGCATTTGCCACATTTCGGGAAAGGAAAAGCAAAACCTTCCCTCTCCGGCGGATTTCTGGCTGCACACAAAGAGCGCTGTCAACGCAACACTTCTGAGTCCGGGCTCCCGCGAGCCGCCCCGACAAAGCACCGCGTAGTAACCACCGCCGCCAGGGCTTAGGCCACTTCTCCCTCAGCCCCGCTCCGGCTGGGATCCGGGCCTCGCCGTGACAGCCGGTCGGGGTGGCCCACCCCACCCGAGCCCCAGCCTCCCGTCACCTTTTTCATCAAAGCCTCGCAGCAGCCAGGCTTCCCGGGTCCCCCGGGGTCCTGTCGGGCAGCCCTGGCTCCCGAGCGCCGGTTGCTGAGAGGCCGCAACGCCGGTGTGGTCCTCCCGCCTTGGAAGAAGTCGCCGAGCGGCCCTCGCCCCGGCACGTCCCCTCCGCTGCCGGCGTGTGGCTGACGGGGTTGCGAACGCCGGTGCTGCGGCCGCTCAGCCTCCCAGAGGCCCGGCCCGCGGCACACAGGAGCAGTTCCGGCTACGGCGGCCGGCGAAGTCCGCGGGACCGACACGCGGGGCGGGGCCGGAGCGCGGGCCGGGGCGGGGCGACGCGCGCGGGACCGAGCACGCCGAGATTTCCAGCGGGCGCGCCCCCTCAGGGGCGCTCCCATTGGTCGGCGGCGGGAGCGCGCGCTTGCACGCACGGACGCTGGGCGGGGGCGGAGGGCGGGCCCGCAAAGCGGGTAATGTTGTGACGCCAGTCTCGCAGCAGTGCGGACTGGTACGTCTCTCCGGATTGGTGAATAGACAGCCAATAGAGTGAGAGCCTAGGCTGTGATTGGCCCGGGCCGTGTTGACGGATGCGTGAGAAGAAAACGCCGCCTGAGCTCTGAGTCTTGAATCCGGCGCGAACGGGGTTTTTAACGAAAAAGTGTAAAAGTGTAACTGAAGCAGATAAACACACCCTTTATTGAATTGAATGCATACTTTTAAAGTTCCTTAGCGTTGCGGCTGGTGCTGGGCATTTAGGTTGTTTTTCTTCGTTTTGGCGATAAAGGAGTGTTTTAAATCCTAGTGTTTATGGCCTCTGATAAGAGCGATGGTGTTTAAGGGTACAAACTTGTAAGGCGTAATATCTAATGCACAGTATAATGGATACAGACAATAATATTGTACTATATGTAATGTGATAAATATCTCTACATGCTAATCATATAATATACAAATGTATCAAAGCAACGTTCTGTATACCTTAAACTTACACAATGTTAAATGTCAAATTTATTCAATAAAATTCTAGTGTTTATGAAAATGGGTTTTTTTAAAATAGAATTTTCCTTGTATGTGTGTGATCCAGCGCCTAGCTCCTCCGATTAGGTAGTACCTACATTTTCCTATTTTTTTTATTTGTTTAACAATGTGGACCTTTTTGCTGCTTTTTGCTATAGTAAGTTTTTTAAATGAATGACATTACTTTTTTTTTTTTCCAAAATTAGTTTAACCCACCAGACCGTTAGGCCAGGGCAGCACGTTGCTAATGCCTTAGGAAATGCAGTCTGCCGCCAGGGTTAGAAACCAGGTTAGTTTCTAACCGGATGAACTCGTATCGTTGGCTACTATTTTCTCTCCAATGGCGTCCATAAGGCCCCCAAAGCACTGAGCGCACGTCATAAGTTAACAGCTTCAAGGAACCATATTGAATCAACTGGCTTTACTCATAAATTCTCTTGAACGACACCCTCCTTGAAACAAAGCAGACAAAAAAGAGTCTAGCAAACCTTTTAGGGTCCAAAAGACCCAGCAATAAGATTAACGAGAGAGGAAAGAATCTTAAAGATGGCGTTCCGTCTCTTTCCCAGTCTCTCTGCTGCCTTCCTCCACCTGACTGACCTACGCGGTTGGAAACGTAACTACAGGAGCGGGTCCCCAACCGGCCGTGTATTCCTATCACATCTAGAATTTATCAGCTTCCCTTCTCTGCGCAGAAAGGCATATCTGGCCTCTTGACCCCCCTCTCGAGCTAGCTTTTTTAAGCCTAGACAGCGGCTGCGAAGGGTGTAAATTGCCCTGCAGCACCGCGGAGCTCGCCACCCGCTGGAGGAATCCTGCCCTCGGCTCCGCACGAACATTCCCGATTGTCTTCGGCTCTTTCCGGCCTCTCGTGGAATTTCGGGCGGCTTCGGCGTCCACTAGCTCAGCTTCGGCTGTATCCGCCTTGGGCTCGGAGCCGTTGTCCCGGCAACGCGCGGCGGTGCTGCCGCCCAACCGAGGTGAGTGCGGTCCCCGGCCCCGGGCCCAGGAGCAGAGGGTCTGGGGGCCGGGAGCCGGGGAGGAGGGCGACGACAAGGCGGGGCCGGGGCGGCTCGCGGTGTCGGGCGGTTCCGGGGGCCCGGAGCCTGGGGCCGGGAGGAGGGCAACGCCGAGGTGCGCGGGACTTCCTTCGCGCGGCCTCCCGGATTATTTTCGTCCAGAAATCCTGCTTGGGCCGAGCGCCCGAGCGCGTGGCTGGTCAGGCTGAGGCTTCGGGGTGCGGGGCGGGCGTCCGAACGGTCAGCGCGAGACAAGGGCCACCTCCGGGGCCACCTCCGGCGCAGACAGGTCTGACTGAGGGCCGCGTGGCTACTTGAGGCACGGGGGAGCTGACCCGGTGGCGAGGAGGCGGCGCCAGAGGCGCTCGCGGTAACGCTGGGCCTGGGAGGGAATCAGAAAACCACCTTTCTGCGCTGTCAGTACTGCGGCCCGGGGAACCGCACGCATGATCCAAACCAGAGATGGCGTTCCTTCTTGTCCATGGGATGCAGCTATGACCCTGCACTGCCGAGGCCCCGGGGGCTGTGGTGGGGGCGGTGGTGAGGCTTTTCGGGGTGGCCCCTAGTGCCTGCCCCCACACCTCTCCACTCTGTCGCCATTGCCTCTAAGTCCTCTGGTTCCCTCCCGCAGCATCTCCAAGCAGTAATGCAACTGAAGTTATCCTTAGTACCACGAGCCGCGCAGTTGAAAGACCTTAACATTTTCTTTCCCAGAAGGTGGTTTAACGGAGGCGTAAAGACCTTGCACCGCTGGAGGTGAGAGGATCAAATCGGTGAGAATAAATGAAATTTTTTTCTTTCCCCCAAAATTTATATATTGCCAAATCGCCTTATGTTCTAGAGACCCTGAGTTTTTTCTTTGTTTTTTTTTTTTGTTTGTTTTTGTTTTTGCGGTACGCGGACCTCTCACTGCTGTGGCCTCTCCCGTTGCGGAGGGCAGGCTCAGCGGCCATGGCTCACGGGCCCAGCCGCTCCGCGGCATGTGGGATATTCCCGGACCGGGGCACGAACCCGTGTCCCCTGCATCGGCAGGCGGACTCTCAACCGCTGCGCCACCAGGGAAGCCCTAACCCCCTTTTTACAACTGTTCCAGGGCTGGGGATGCTCCGATGGCCCCTCACCCTGTGGGGCAGATAATCTGGTAGGGAGTGGAGGATGGTCAGTCAAACACACATTTACAGTAAACTCTGAATGCAGCAGTGGACAAATACAGGGTTCTATGAGGACTCTGGGCAGAAGCACTAGACAACCTAGAAATCAAGTCCAAGAGCTCAGTGGTGGAAAAGAGGCTTCTTGAATACGCAAAGCAGGGGTGTCGGGGAGAGAGCTTCTGGGAAAGCCCCAGGCAGGAAGAAAGTAATTTAAAGATCTTTCAGCATACTTTCTTATTACAAAGTTATGTTTGAAATAAAAGATAGAGGAAATCAGGTTTAACTTTTTCAAGTGCTATTATAATTCTTTCTCTATCATTACAACAAAATTAATATGTTATTCATTTTTCCAAGGCATATTTTGAGAAAGTAAACTTGTTAAACATGAATAAGAATTTCCCATAGCCCAGAATTTAGACCCTTGATTGGATGCAACACATTAAAACTCACTTTAAAAGGTTTCCTTGCTGCATTAGACTGACCAGTTTTTAACCTGGTGTGTCTCATTGTCAGTGGCTCTGTGTGAACATTTGCATGAAGTCTTTACTCAAGGAAGCCAGAGCCCTGACCAGTGTGCATATTCCCTAAGTGATGTGTGCAGGATCCAGTTCCTGCCCTCTCCCCTGACTCCAGCCCCACATCCCCCTGCTCCTCTGGCCAGTGTCCAGCTACTCTGCTAGGAGTCCTGAACGGGTTGCTCTTCAGCTTGTGGTGGGTATATATTCATAAGAGAAAGATAAACATTTGAAATGTGACTGTTCATTTCTACCCACCTGCCTTCTAGCTTCTGGAAGAACAGGGTCCCTCTCTAGACCCAATCTGAGCCTTCATGGCTTCCTCTGATACAACTATTGTATTGCTAAAAGCAAATGGCATAGTCCATTCCCTACTCTAATAATAGAATTTTGCAGGTTCTGGATAACTTTTTTGCACAATTTTTTTCTTGTGGTTAAACATACATAATATAAGATTTACTATTTTAACCGTTTGTAAGTATACAGTTCAGCAGCGGCACTAAGTACATTCATATTGTTGTGCAATCATCACCACCATCCATCTCCAGAATTTTTTTCATCTTCCCAAACTGAAACCTTGTATACAATAAACTCTAATACCCCATCCCTGCCTGCAGCAGGCCCTGTCAACTACCAATCTACTTTCTGTCTCTATGAATTTGATGACTCTAAGTACATTATATAAGTGAATCATACAGTATTTGTTCTTTTGTGTCTGGCTTATTTCACTTCTTCTAGGTTCATCTATGTTGTAACATGAGTCAGAATTTCATTCCATTTTAAGGCTAAATAATACTCCATTGTATGAATATACCACATTTTGTTTATTCATTCATTTGTTGATAGACATTTGGGTTGAGTCCACCTTTTCACTATGAATAATGCTGCTATGAATATTGTGTTTAAATATCTGTTCAAATCCCTGCTTTCAATTCTTTTAGGTATATATCCAGAACTGGAATTGCTGAATTATATGGTAATTCTATGTTTGATATTTAGAGACCCACCATACTGTTTTCCACAGCATCTGTACCATTTTACACTCCTACCAGCAACTCACAAGGGTTCCAATTGCTCCACATCCTCACCAAAACTTCTTACTTTCTGTTTTTCTGATAATAGCCATCCTAATGGGGATGAAGTTGAATAATTTTAAATGGTAGCAAACCAACTCACAAATAGGCTTTTCTCTGCTAGTTAGCTTCCCCAAACTGACTGTAGGATGTGAAAAAGTGAGCAGTAGTCAGACTGTCATTCCATTCACCTTCCTACCCCTCCCACAAAGGGACAATATGCACATCTTTTCCAGGAAAGAAAGAAGGATGTTAAGTTCATGTAACTGATCAAGTTCATCTTCTCCCCAGTTGCTCTGGCTTTGCTTGACTCCCTAGCAAATGAATCCTTTTGCTTCTGACACCTCAGAGGAAGGCAGGGACAGCCTTGGTTTTCTATCAGAAATTGGGTGCTAGGTTTTTCTGTACTTTTCTCTTTTGTGAAGCAGTTTGCTTTTTTTGTTTGTTTGTTTGTTTGGAAATGTTGCTTAACGGGGAGCTATAGAAATATAAATTGTCCTTATTATGATTGGGATAAAAATGATCAAGGTTTACATATGTAGTCTAGTCCACGGGGCTTTTATTGTTTTGATGGCAGTATGTGTTATTCCTTTCCATCTTTCAGGTCTAATCCCTTGCCTCTAATTGTATATTTTTCCTGTTAGAGACCTCTTCCACATAAAATTGCCTGTTATTGGTCTGAAGGGGTGCTGATAAGTTGCCGAATGTCTTGTAGGTCTGTGATGCTTCTTTTTCCTAATTCTATATATAGTAGTTTTGTTTTGTTCAAGACCAACAGGGCTTGGTTGTCTTTTCCCTCCAGGTTCCAGCCCTGACCAGGCCTGCGTTTCATCATGGCCCTCTACTTTGACCACCGCATAGAAGCCCCAGATGCAGTTGGGTCTCCCTCCCACATCAGTTGGCACCCCGTTCACCCATTCCTGGCAGTCGCTTCCATTAGCACAGCCTCAGGAGGCAGTGTGGATATATATCGGGAGCAAGTGAGTGCGGAAAGCAGCAATTCTGACTGCAGTAGCTTCTGGCTCTTGTCTCTCTTTTGTTCGTGTGTGTGTGTGTGTGTGTGTGTGTGTGTGTTTCTCACTGAGGTCCAAACTCCCAATATTATAAAAGCCCTATTATGTGAATAACTCTTTTACCCCTGCTATTTAGTTTTGGGGACATATTTAGGAATGCTCAAGGCAGAATCCACAGTCAATTCACGGTCACCAGCAGGGTTGTCTGTCCATCCCTCTCCAGCCTGCCGTTGGCCATTCGAAACTATTTGTTTCCTGGAGGTGCCATAACAAATTACCACAAATTGGGTGACTTAAAACAACAGAAATTTATTCTCTCATAGTTCTGGAGGCCAGAAGTCTCCAACAACAGGTTAGCAGGGCCCTGTCCTCTCCGAAGGCTCTAGTGGAGGATCTGTTCCGTGCTTCATATTAGCTTCCAGTGTAGCCAGCAGTCCTTGGTGCTCCTCGGCTGGGACCTGTATCACTCCAGCCTCTCCCTCCATCCTCACACAGCCACCTGCTCTGTGTGGCCATGTCTCTTTCCTCCTCACATAAGGGCACCAGTCATACTGGACTAGGGCCCACTCTAATGACCTTGTCTTAACTTGATCATCTGCAAAGACCCTATTTTCAGATAAGGTCACATCACAAGTACCAGGGGTTAGGACTTGAACACATCTTTTTGGGGTGCCCAATTCAATTCGTAACAGAAACTTTCTAGACGCTCCTCCTACTTCACCAAGAAAGATGGATTTCCTTTCCCACTCCCTCCTCTGCCCTCTGCAGTCTCGATGTCACCCCTGAAATTTCACCCAAGCAGCCACACTCATCAGCGATGGCTACATAACGTGTCCTGCTGTCCCTGCCCCCCCCCCACATTCCACACTCTTGTAGGGTCCTCCGGAGAGCACACCTGAGGGTCTTCCTCACCCGACCCCCTTCATCCAGGCCACCCCCTTCCCCACCGGGCCCTCCAGCCTTCCCCCCGTCCCAGACAGGCCTGCCGTTGGCCCCCCTCAGAGCACATCCAGGCCTCTTCTCCCTCTATTTCCTCCTCCTGGGGTTGCATTACCATCTATCAGTGGATGACTTACAAGCCTGCGGCTCCAGCCCACCAGTCCCCCCCAACCCCTGAGCAAGCCCTCCCCTCATGCTCCACAAAGGGCAAACCCTCCTGGTATGCTCATCTTGGTCTCATCCCAGGTATGGGTCAGTATTTGGCCCCAGTGCCAAGCACAGTGTCACCAACTATTTCAGAGTAGATGCCTCCCTTCTGGGAGTCAGACAGCTCTCCAATATGTATCGTAAAATTTTCTTTAGAGTAAGTATTATTAAATCCAAAATAATAGCAATTTTAGATTTTTTTTTTTTCTGCACCGCGCAGCTTGTGGGATGTTAGTTCCCCAACCAGGGATTGAACCCGGGCCATGGCAGTGAAAGTGCCAAGTCCTAACCACTGGACCACCAGGGAATTCCCTAGATAAAATTCTAAATTTTAGAAAATTTAAAATATACTATTACAAAACAAAGTGTACTTCCTGTGTTTCTAATTGGCAGAAGGAGACCATTAGGATTTCAAAATAATGATTTATTGGATGATAATGAGGTCACAGATGTAGTAGGTGTAACTGAGTTTACTAGGAAGAGCCCAGTAGAAGTACTGAGAACAAACTGAATTAATCTCTGAAAACACATTTATACCTTAAGCCTACTGCCTTAGAAAATTCTAGAAAACACAAGAATATACCAGCACGTATTCAATTAGCTGTCACAGCAATGACATCATCACACATCACAGAGCTCTGGAAAACTGCACTGTACACTCATGAGAGAACGAGAGTTAACAGGGCAGATCATGTCTTCATATCATCCTGAACATGACTTTGGCGTCACAGACCCCAAAAACGTTCTAGGGTCACCTCACTACACTTTGAGAACCTTGGGTCAACACACTTCACCCACTGGCCCACTTCTTCTTTTTGTAAATAAAGTTTTATGGAACTCCCTGGCGGTCCAGTGGTTAGGACTCAGAGCTTCCACTTCAGGGGGCCCAGGTTTGATCCCTGGTCAGGGAACTAAGATCCCACAAGCCACACGGTGTGGCCAAAAAAATAAATAAATAAAAATAAACGGAAAAACATTTTAAGTAAATAAAATTTTATTGATAAACTTGTCCATGGGGCCAGTTGAATGTTTACCTTACACTTTCATAGTTCAGCTGAGGCAAGATGGGTGTTTCTATGAAAATTAAATAGAATATTTCCTTAACAAACTGCTCATTATGTCCTCTAGCTGATGTCATTCCATTGACGAGGCAGAAATTCTTAGAGTAGCGGCCACTCCCTGTAAAATAAAGAATTTACCTCGTGTGTCACAGGGTGAGTGCGTGCCAGACACGCATATTGAGAGGTCGTTCCGGGTCACCTCCCTCTGCTGGCACCCGACGCGGCTGATCCTGGCTATTGGCTGGGAGACCGGAGAAGTGGTCGTGTTTAATAAGCAAGACAAGGAGCAGCATGTGGTCCCCCCGACGCAAACCGCCGACGTCACCGTCCTCAACTGGAGCCCCAACGGGAACTGCCTGGTATCCGGGGATAGGGTGAGCAGACACGCTGAGACACTGACTTCAGATCTCTGCATTGCCCTGTACATGCTCTTAGGGACCAAATTATTAGAAACTTGCGGTTGCCGAGTTCAACTGATTTTGTCAGCTGTCATGGCAGATTTTGTTTTATATTGGGAGGAAGGTTTGAATGTTTTATTCTATCATCTCACTCTGTGGCAAAAGTTTGTAATTTTTTAAATGAACATTTCTAGGTAAGTACATTCACAAAGATGGGGTGGTGCTTCATGTACCCCCAAACCCCACCTTCCCTGAGCACACCGCTTCATTGCCTAGGAGTCCCTGGTCCTGATCATCTGGCCCAGGGCTTCCTAAGCAGGTCAGTTTGCCCCCAGGGGACACTTTGCTGTGTCTGGGGAGATTTTTTGTTGTCACAGTGGTGGTGGTGGGGGTTCTTTCTACTGGCATCTGGTGGGTGGAGGCCAGAGATACTGCTCAACATCCTCCGATGCTCAGGGCAGACCCCACAGCAGAGAATTACCAGCTCTAGATCTGTTTGATTCAAAAATGACAGCAGAAATTGTACAATGTGTTTATTTATTTTACACATTTAAGGTAATATATTTACATGTTTCAAAGTTCAAAAAATACAAAAAGGTATATACTGTAAAGACTCTCCAGCCCCACCCCATCCACTACCTCCCCTTCCCTGCCCTCCAGCACCTACAGCTTCTTCAAGTCTCTCCAGTTCTCCTTCAGTACACACAGGAACACACAATGCATTCTCTCCCCAACTTCCAATTTTGAAAAATTTCAAACCTTTAGGGGAGTTGAAAGAATAGTACAAACAACACCCTTGTACCCTTCCCATGAATTCAGTAGCTGTTAATGTTTTGACACATCTGCTCTCTCTGTACATCTGTATTTTTTCCCTGTATATTTGAGAGTTTGTCACAGACATCATACTTCATCCGTAAATGCTTTGGCATCGATCTCCTAGGATCGTGACCACGTGTACTGTCACACTCAGGAGGGTGAAGCCCATGAACTGGTTTCCACTGCTGTGCCATCGGTGTGACAGCTTTTCCTGCTGTCCCAGTAACGTCTGTGCTGATTTTGTCCTTACCCAGAAGCCAGCCAAGCACCACGCTTTGCGTTTGGCCGTCATTTCTCTTTGGTCTCCTTTCATCAGAACTGGTCCATGGTCTTGTCTTTTCTTTCTTCTCTCTCTTTTTTTTTTTTTTTTCTTTTGGTCTTTCATGATATTAACATTTTGAGGGGTCCAGACTAGTTACCTTGTAGAATGTCCCTCGGTTTAGAACTGTGTGGTTGTCTCCTCATGACTGCCTTTAGGTTAAACATCTTGGCTGGGAGCTTCACACAGAGGGCGTCGTCTCTTTCCTATCTTCCTCGGTCCTTTTCACATGAGGGCAGTGCCCAGTGCACCCTGTTCTGTTTCTGGCTTTTCACCTGATGCTGCGTCTTCCAGGTCTTTCCATGGTGGTGCACGGCGAACCTCCTTGCTCTCTTTTAACCTGCCCTTCATTACACCAACGTGTTATCATTTACTTCCCCAGCCTCTGTGGTTAAACGGTCTCCAGTCCTTTGCTGGACAGTGACACAGTGGCTGGCCTCATGCTTTTGTCCTTTTGCATGTGTGAAAGTTTAGAGAAATTCCTGGAGGTGGGATCCAGGGCATGCGCTTGTGGTTTGGTGAGTGTCCCTACACCTCCCTCCATGGGGCTTGACCAGCTCCCACCAACCCACAAGCATGTCGTATCCAAGCTCAGAATTTTGCCTGGAAAAGTGCTATCTCGGTCGTGTTCTAGTTTGTGTTTCTCTTCCTCTTGAGGGTGAATATAACTTAGAAGAGCCATTTATACTTCCTTTCTGTTCATATCACTCATCCACTGTTCTATTTATCCTTTTGTCTGGATTTTACTTCTATTTTTCTAGTCTATTCCCACCTAATGGCATTGCTCTGCCCCCAGATTCCTACTTCTTTGGTGATCTTTCCCACCTCTTGCTCAGAAAATCCCCTAGAGGAATAAAAGAATTCAGGGTCATTGAATGCCATCATTCTCATCTTGCCTTTATTAAGAAGCAACTAACAGAGTAGATGACTGAGGCATGAAACAAAGCCCAGGTTGGTGCTGACCAAGTCTTGGAGTCAGGATTTAAGAACAGAAATACCTAGCACTTCTCTAAGAAAATCTACAACTGTGCTGGTCCTAATTTCATACTGGACTCAGGCAGGCAGAGAAGTAATAACAAATGAACAGACACGCTCAGAGCACTGACCTCTGAGACACCTGCTCGCAGGCTTGGCCCAGGGTCTTTTCCACTCTCCCACCAGAGACCCAGTTTGATTACCGTGAGACCGACCAAACCTGCTGAAGCAGGAAGACACACGTAATCTGCAGCCCTCAGAGTGTCCCACAGTCTCCAGGGACAGGAGCAGAGCTGGCTTCCGACATCCAGAACCACGAGTGAGGTGTCTGCTGCCAACATCCGCCTCTCAGGGCCCCTTCCTGCACAGCCGTCTCTCTCCTGTGCCATCCGTCCAGGAGGCTGCTGGAAACAAAGTTTCCAGTTTCCCACTCCAGTTTCCCACTCCAGTTTCACCCCAGAGATGACCTGCCCTTCCTCCTCTGTCCCAAGTCCAGCTCGGGCCAGGTGCCCCCTGTGCAGCCACCCTTGGGCCTGGGGCAGTGGAGAGATCCCTGGAAGAGGACACCAGGCGAACACTTGGTCGGTGAAGAAGCGGGGAGGACAATGCATGTCCAGGGCTCATCTCCCTCTCACTCTCCTGCTGGACAAGAGCTGAGGGCGAGGAGTAAGTGCACCTACACATAGGAAAGGGCAAGTCGCTTCCTGATCTCTGAGATAAACCATTAGTGAGCCAGCTGTGAAGTGACGTGTCCCGACAGTTGTATCTGGAGACCTAACTTCACACTAGTCCCTTAGTACGTTCACCTCCTGCTCTGCATGGGACTCGTTTCCCACCTGAGGGTGAGATGCTCTCACTTTTCCTTCAAGTCTTACTGGATAAAGTTATTTGAATGAAGTGACCTGGAAGGAATGGCAGCGAGTGAAGAGACCACTCTGAACACAAAGGATCCCCCCTCAGGAGCAGTAAGAGATGCAAAAACCACTTAGAATTTAGGGGCAATGAGCAGGAGGCCCCGAAGAGGCATCTGCTTTGCCATCTTCTACTTGGCGTCTGCGTGTCTATCTGGTTACAGGAGACCTGAGGTGACTTCCTGTGGCTTCCCCTTCTTGTGTGTGTGTGTCTGTCTGTCTGTCCGTCCTTGTATCAGAACAGGGGTCTGCAGTCATCTGAGCAGAAACCACTGCTCCAGGGGCTCCGGACATTTCCATCCTTCAACTTCTTCCCCAGCTCAACAGTCGGGGGATCTGGACAGGCCGAGTGCTCGTGTTTGTGTTCAGGTGCCTAATGAGCTGTCAGCTGGAAGCTCGTGTATACTAATAAAACAGTCATTTACTGTGTTAAAAATTAAGTGCTGGACAGGACTTCCCTGGCAGTCCAGTGGTTAGGACTCGGCACTTTCACTGCAGCGTCCTGTGTTCAATCCCTGTTTGGAGAGCTAAGGTCCCGCAAGCTGCGCAGCCAGGCCAAAAAGAAAAAGGAAAAGAAAAATTAAGTGCTGGACAATTGCACTTGCAGGGCAGAGCAGAAGGCCATCTCCACAGAGGCCGTGTGTGCCTAAAACACACAGCAGGGCCCAACTGCTGGCTCCTCTAGGGAGGAGGCTAGGTGACGGGGAAGGAAGCCTTCCCATTTCTGCCCTTATGTGTGTTTCACTGTGCAAGTATTATTTTTTTAATGTTATTTTAAGAGTAATTTGTAAACACACAAAAAATAATGTTTTTATTCTTTTTTTTATAAATTTATTTTACGTATTTATTTTTGGCTGTGTTGGGTCTTTGTTGCTGCGCGCAGGCTTTCTCTAGTTGCGGCGAGCAGGGGCTACTCTTCGTTGCAGTGCGCGGGCTTCTCACTGTGGTGGCTTCTCTCGTTGTGGAGCACGGGCTCTAGGCACACGGGCTTCAGTAGTTGTGGCACGCGGGCTCAGTAGTTGTGGCGCACAGGCTCAGTAGTTGTGGCGCACGCACTTAGTTGCTCCGCATCATGTGGGATCTTCCCAGACCAGGGATCGAACCCGTGTCCCCTGCATTGGCAGGCGGATTCTCAACCACTGCGCCACCAGGGAAGCCCCAATGTTTTTTTTGTTTTGTTTTGTTTTGTTTTGTGGTACGCAGGCCTCTCACTGTTGTGGCCTCTCCCATTGCGGAGCACAGGCTCCGGACGCGCAGGCTCAGCGGCCATGGCTCACGGGCCCAGCTGCTCCGCGGCATGTGGGATCTTCCCGGACCGGAGCACAAACCCGTGTCCCCTGCGTCTGCAGGCAGACTCTCAACCACTGCGCCACCAGGGAAGCCCCCCAATGTTTTTATTCTTATCTTTATAAAGCTGGCAAAGTCAAGAAGAATCTGTATAATAATATAGGATTTGAATTCTATATATACTCATGTTACATACCATTTCAGATCTTATATACTCTTCTTAGAGGTCCACTGTACAAGTTGCTTTTTAAGGCCCACATTTTTTTTTTTTTTTGGCCGTGCCACACAGCATGCAGGATCTTAGTTCCCTGACCAGGGATCGAACCCGCGTCCCCTGCAGTGGAAGCGTGGAGTCTTAACCACTGGGCTTCCAGGGACGTCCCAAGACCCACATTATTTGAAAATCATATTCTTATATACAGTAAAGCAATGTTACACCCACTGACCGTGAGCAGGAAACAGACCTCGAGGACTGCTCGGGCAGCGCAGCAAAGCGGCCTCAGGCTTCGAGGGAAACACTGCCATTTGGCAAAGCTTAGCTTGTCCCAGCCAGAAGCCCTCCTGGAAAATTGCTCCTGGACCAAGTCGTCTTCCCCGCAACTTGAACTTTTCTAGCAGTTGTCTGAACCATTAACTTGAGATTTTGATGACTTTGATGTTGAACATATAGTACACCTGGCACCCAGATCTTGGTTTCTTCCAATAAAAGGAACCAGGGCTCCTTGGAGAAATGGCTGATCCTAGGGCTGGGGCAGGATGGCAAGCCCGGAGGATCTGTAGGCCAGGACGTGAGGAGGTGCTCACAAACCCACAGCGACGGGTGCATCGAAGGGACAACAGAGCCTGAGGAAAGAGCTCCCGATGGCGGAGCTGGAACAATTTGAGTATCTAAACAAACAGGGGAATATTGGGTCATAACCCAGAGTAGAAAATAAATATTCATGGGTCCATCCGTGCGTCCATATTGATGTAAATCTATGATTTAATAAATCAGTAATGGTGGACAAGAGGCATATCTCTCCAGATGATCTAGGAGGTGAGACATAACTCCCCTTCCTACGTGTGGGCTGCACACAGCGACTTCCTTCCAGGCAGGACAGGATGGAAGGAAGAAGAAACTCCCCAGTGAGGGAGGTCACAGACATGACCTCAGCAGACAGGTCACGCCAAGGACAGGGACCCCTGATCCGACATGTCGACAGCAGCACTTGACCTCTGGTCTTCCTCTCAAACCCACCACCCCGACAACAATGAGAAAAACATCAGGCAAATCCTGCCGGAGGGACATTCTACAAAACCCCTGATCGGTCCTCCTCAACACTGTCCGGGCGTCCAGAACAGGGGTGTCTGAGCCACCGTCCCAGCCCAGGGGGGCCCAAGGAGACATGGCGACCAGATGTCTGTGAGGCCTGGACAGGGTCCCAGGGCAGGAAGAACTGAGGAGAGGTGAATGAAGTACCAACTTTAGTTAGTATCATGCGCCACAGTAATGTAGGGTCAGTAATAGGAGAAGCTAGGTGTGAGGTATGGAGCTTCTCTGAACTATCTTTGCCACTTTTCCTTAAATCTGAATCTATCCCAAAATTAAAGATTTGTTTTAAAAACTGAACATGTGACACTTGTTATCTCTAGGGAGTGAAGATGGGATGGGGCACAGAGAGGAGTTTCTGGTTCCTTCATTGAACACTAAAATTGTTTTGAGTTTTTCATGGTGCACATATAGTAGTAGTATAATTTTAAAAGAAAAAAAGGAGTAAGCCCATGCTCTGTTGCACAGTATCACCCTCACCCTCCACCAGTCACTTGCTAAGAATGTGACCTTGGGTTTTCCAGCTTGGTGTCTTGCTCTTATGGAAGTTGGACCAAAGGGGTCGAGTACAAGGGGCACCGCTGCTGAAGCACGAGTATGGAAAACACCTCACTCACTGCATCTTCCGGCTCCCCCCTCCCGGCGAGTAAGTAGAGCTTGGGTGGTGGCTGGCGGGGCCGGGGATGTGGCTCCTCCTGACACTGGAGGGGTCTCCTCTGTGGTTATACCACCTTCGTCCAGGGAGCAACAAGGAATCTCTGTCACATTTGCTCTTAGGGACCTCGTTCAGTTGGCGAAGGCAGCTGTAAGTGGTGATGAGAAAGCCCTGGACAAGTTTAACTGGAGGAAGTGTGGCTTTGGAAGTTTCCTGAAAATGGGACCTCAAGAGGGACTCTCATTCTTTGTCAGCTTGACCGATGGTAAGACACTCAGGTTGGGGCCTGGGGACACTGCAGTGTTTCGGAGTGTCTGGGAGATTATAAGCGAATGGATGGCGTTTCTGCATAAAATTGCAGGCTGTGCGCCACTCCCAGATGGATGCCTTAGCTGGCTTGTGCAGGTGTTTATCCAGGATCCAAAGGGTGGCTTCACCTTGACCTGATAGAAACAAATTGAGCTTTATTTGCGTTTGAAGGTTTTTCAGGAGGAAGCTGTCCAGGATGTGCAGCCCAAGATGAATCGATGCCAGGGGCATCCGGCGTGGTCTCCAAGCCAGCAGCGGGGCTCAGCTCTGGGGTGGGTGTGACCGGGGCACGCTGGACCAGCAGCCCTGGCAGGGCTGGGCCGTCCATGCTGATTTAACACGGCTCCCCCGCGGTGTGCTAGGAGGCAGGCGGCGGCCAATAGATGCAGTGTGAGGTTCAGAGAGATAGAGGGTCTTGTACACTCACGAGACATTCATGAGTGCCTTCTCCCATGGGAAAGGGGCCCTTCCTGGGGTGATGGGGTTCGAGGACGTGTGTGGCCAGGCAGCTTAACCATGACAGGTGACAGCTGGGAGGGGCTGGGGCATTTGTCAGTTTGAAAGTAGAGAGACTTGGCATTTCAGAAGGGGAGTTGGAGGGACCCAATGTGGGCACTGTGGGGGCGGCGGGGGCCCTGAGGGAGGAAGGAGATGTGGCGACTGGAGGCCTGGCTCTGCAGGGGGTGTCAGTGCTGCCCCCACCCAGCAGCCGTGCAACTGGCGCAGATGATCCCGTGTCTTTGTGCCTTAGCTTCCGAACATGTACAGTGGGGATCGGGATAGTACCTGCCTCCAGAGCCTCTGTACACGGAGCCCACACACATCTGTGCTCAGTAAATACTAGTTACTGTTATGATTAGCCTCCAGACAACCTTGAACCTTTAAGCTTAATAAGAACTCAAGTTGTCCACTGGGAGTGAGATGGGAGGCGGCATGGAGGGTGAGGAGGCTCCCGAGAGCAGCAGAATGAACCCAATCCTGAGAACTCACAGGAGGTGCTGCCACCATGCTCAGAAGCCTGAAAGCAGAACCAGGAGACAGCTCGGGGGCAAGAGGAGGGTATCCAGGCTGGGAGGGACCCTGGGGCCGAGGCGAGGGCCTGGGGAAGGCAAGAGGGTGCAGGCCAGACGCCAGCCAGCGATACCCGGTACCCAGGATGGAGGGTGCAGGCCGAGGCTCCGGGGAGGGTCATAGTTAAGGCCCCGGCAGACGGGTGATGGACGTGTACCTAGGGGACTGAGATGACCAGAGCATGGAGGCTGTGCATCAGGAGGGTGGTCAGTGTGAGCACTGGACAGTGGTGGAGGGAGGATGGCAGACACAGGGGTCCTGGCTGGACTGACCCAGAGATGGCAGACGAAGGGGTCATGTGCCAGTGTTTTTAAAATGGCTTATTTGTAAATGGTTATGATGAAGATGTTTACGTTGAAAGTGTCCCTAAGTAGGTAGAATGGCTTCCGGGGAGTGTCCAGCCTCCATGGACACATCGCTTTCCCGCAGGGACCGTGCACTACGTGGACGAGAAGGGCAGGACGGCCCGGGTGGCGTCCACGGACAGCTCTGTTCAGACGCTGTTCTACCTGGAGAAGAGAGAGGTGCTGGTGGCAGTCACCGAGAGCCTGCTGCTGTGTCTGTTCACGGTGATGCCCGAGGGCACAGCCGAGGAGGTGATGAAGGTGAGGAGGTGATGGGGGGGTGCCCCAGGGGGTCTGCAGCCTCTCTTGCCCACCTCATACACCCCTTCGTTTTGGTTGAGGAGTCTGTGTTTCAGGGCCACCACCAGAGCTTTAGCACCTTATTTATTGTGCACCATTGCGGTCACAGGTTGGGGAGACACCAGGGGACGGGGCCTCCCAGAGCCACGGGAGGTACGGGGCTGTGGCGGGGACGCCTGGCTATGTGCAGACCTTGAGGGTTGTCACCAGTGTTCCCTCTGTGACACTACCGCTGGCCCACACATATGCATTGCTTTATCCGAGGGGTGTGTGACAATCACAGCTCTGGACACCCGGCCATCCGCGTGGGTGCCTCACCCCGGGCTGGGGCGCTCACTCGCGGGAGGACACCAGGAAGCCTGGGGCGTTGGGTGTTGGTCAGGCAGCGCGTGCAGCTCCCTGAGGACTGCATGCTGCTCTCCTGCCACTTTGTTGGTTTACACCCAAGGACTCTATGGTTCTCAGAGTACTCCGAACCTTCCCTAAGATGCTCTGGTCGATGCAGAAAAGTCGGTGTTCAGGGGTCCTTTGTGCACCTCTGTCTACACAGCAGTTGAAATGTGGTCACTGAGTCCTGTGAACCTGGGTTCAAATCCCCCCTCAGCCCCTTGCTGGCAGGTTTTCTCTGAACACAGGCTGTGACAAGCTGCCTCACCCAACGCGGGGCACCCCTGTCATTAACTACGTAGTGTGCAGTGGTCGCTGCTTTGGCCTGAAAGGCTGGGGCTGCCCTTCCAAGTGTCCACAGCCACCCTCACTTCCTCCGCTTGGTGAGTCTGTGGGGAGTCACTGCCAGAGAGTCCAGCTGCTGAACAGGGACCTGGTCTCGACAAGGGCGACGTGCTCCTTTCGGGTTGTTGTTGTGCAGGTAAAGCTGAGTGGAAATATGGGTCGCCGGGCAAACGTCGCCCTGATCAACGGCAGCCTTCTTGTGACCGCCACTGGGGAGGCGGTCCTCAGGTGAGATCCCGACTCTGCAGAGAGCGCTGGGGTTGAAAATTCTGTCCCATACAGTCTCTTGAGTACACTTTGTGTTGGAGTGTAACATACATATAGAAAAATGCACAAATTATGATGAAGTGTTACTAATTGGGCACATCCACGTAACCAGCCCTGAGATGGAAGAGCAGAACATATCAGAGACCCTAGGCATTCCGCCCGCCCCCGCAGGGGTCACACTGTCCTGACGTCTGCCTGCCTTTTTGATCCCCGGGTAGATGGAATCCCGTGTTGTGTTCTCTTGGGTCCGGCTGCTTTAGCTCATGTGACATTCAGGGGTTCTCCTTGGTTGGGTGCTTGGAGTTCCCTTGTTCTCATCGTGACCCGGTGTCACACAGGAACCATCTTTTATTAACAACTGCTCCCTTTGTTATGAACAAGACGTAACATAGATAACGTAACAACGACATGCTTTTCTCCTCAGAGTCCAAAGGGCCACGTCTTTTTCCTGATTTTTAAAGTTTACTCTGCGAGTTGAACAAGACCCTCACAGCTGAGGGAAGCCCACTAACACAGTCCCCCCCCGTGGGACTTTCCTCCTTGCCTTGTAGATTCTGGGATTTAGAACGAGGAGAGAATTACGTACTGAGTCCAGAGGAGAAGTTTGGTTTTGAAAAAGGAGAGAATATGAACTGTGTTTCTTACTGTAGAGTCAAAGGTGAGACTTCCCAGCGTCAGAGGGAGAGCCCACCTCAGGCTTTGCTCTGGGCTGTGCTGTCATGACATGGAACTCAGGGCTGTTCTAAGAACCATACCTCAGTTACAACTATGTCAGTCACTCGAGTATAGTCAGCCAAGAGCAAAAAAGAGGCAGGAAAGCTGTGTTGTCCCACGTAGTGGTCAAGGAGTTTGGTCAGGAATGTGACCAGCCTGGCTGCGTGAATTGGTGTCTGTTCCTCCTGAAACCTCAAGAAAAAGTCAGTGTGAGAAACATTAAATATATATGTGTACATGGATGTGCATATGTGTACACACACGCACACACAAATATGACAGAAAGAATAGGAAATGCACCAGAGCAGCACTTCCGTGCCCGCTGAGTGCTAAGTGCTGTCTGGCATTGGGAAAGCAGCCCTGAACACAGGTAGGCAGGCTCCTCTCTCATGGGAGAAACCAGAGAGCAAGCAGCACCACTGCCCCAATCCCCCATCCACACATGTACACACTGTGTCACTGCGAGTAGCGAACTCCTGCTAAGGAAGACACGGCCAGGTAAGAGGCTGGGCAGTTCCTGGACGGAGGGCCGACAGGCTGGTATTTTAGAGAGGGTGGTCAGAGAAGTGAGCTTGCTGCTGTTTTTATCCCTTTTCAACTCAATGTGAACTTTCTTTTTACCTACAGGTCTTCTGGCAGCAGGTACCGATAAAGGGCGCGTAGCCATGTGGAGAAAAGTGCCAGGCCCCCAGAGCAGCCAAGGGGTGGAGGGCAAAGACAGGTGGACCCTTCAGATCCCCACTGAGCTTGAAGGAAACATCACACAGATAAAGGTATGCCTCGACGGGGCGCTGCGTGCACTCATTTTCTGCAGAAGTGGAGGCAGTAATTGCTCTGAACCTATTTTTGTCAGTTATTCAAATTAAGATAAAAAATAACAACAGTAAAATATTTTTAAAGGCCTTTTGGGTTTCAGAACTACAGATAAGGGATTGTGGATCTGTAGTAATCTATATTTATCTTTTTAAATCTATCTACCCGTCCATTTATCTCTATCATCTATTTGTCTTATTTAGTTATTTATTTGGCTGTGCCGCACGACTTGCAGAATCTTAGCTCCCTGACCAGGGATTGAATCTGCACCCCAGCAGTGGAAATGCCAAGTCCTAACCGCTGGACTGCCAGGGAATTCCCGCCCCAGCTTCCTCTTAATGCTCCAAAACTCCACTGTTTTCTGGTCATCCTGAGGCTTGAACTTGCCCCCATTCTGTTTCAAACAAAGGCATTCTGTTGGGGAGCTTGCTGTTCTTGTGGACTGCCTTTCCCCTCAGGAAAAGATTTCTGAGTCACTGCTCCACAGCCTGGTAGTGGGGAGAGTAGCTGGCTTTCTGGGGTGACACCCTGCTTTGGGAGCTGGGAGCTGGACACAGGAGCCTCTGGTCCCAGATGGCCTCTCCCAGAGAGGAGCAAACTGGGGCAAGGGCCTGGGGGCCCAATGTGGTCTGGCTCCTGCTCCAGATGCAGAGCCTCCCTCCGACCCACCTGGACCTGGCCTCTGTGCCAGAGCTGGGGGAGTGAGAGATGCTGGCAGCCGCCCCTCCCAGGAAAATGCCGGAGGAGAGGGATCCCCGGTTTCTTGGGCAAACCTGCCTGCCGAGCTCACCTGCCACAGACTCTGCTCTTCTTACCAGACTTAGTAGACTTTCTTCAATAAGTCTTTCTTCATTTACTCTGTGCCCAATTCCCAGAGAAGTACATGGTTGTGTTTTCATAATTTTCACCAGTTATGCCTACTGTGTCCTCAGGGCTCCTCACCTGCCTTTCTGGAACTTGCCTCTCAGATCTGCTCTGTGTGAATTTTTTTTTTTTTAATTTTTGGCTGCACCAAATGGCACGCAGGATCTTACTTAGTTCCCCGATCAGGGATCGAACCCATGCCCCTTACAGTGGAAGTGCGACATCTTAACCACTAGACCGCCAGGGAAGTCCCTGAATTTTTTAAGATAAAGTTTACTTAATCTATACTAATCAGGAAATGAAAACTTACATAGTAAACAGTTTAGGGATACCTTAGAGCAATTTTGGGAATTACTTTTAGATCCTCATCTCAGGTCATAAATAAACATAGTTTCTGGATGAATTAACGAGTTAAATATTTTTAAAAGTTAGGTCAGGGACTTCCCTGGCGGTCCAGTGGTTAAGACTTCGCCTTCCAGTGGAGGGGGTGTGGGTTCGATCCCTGGTCGGGGAGCTGAGATCCCACATGCCTTGCAGCCAAAAAACCAAAACATAAAACAGAAGCAATATTGTAACAAATTCAATAAAGACTTTAAAAATGGTCCACCTGTTAAAAAATGAAAATAAAATTTAAAAAATTAAAAGTTGGGTCCGAATAACTGGCTAAAAACACAGAATATAATCAGATCTGTAGAGAAAGTGTAACTTTCTTAGATTTTAAGTAATAAAAGAAGTTGCAAAAGCAGAGGGACAAGGTTGAGTCCATAGGAACATGTCACACTGGGCAATGTGAACAGGAAGGCTGGGATGAAAGGAAAACTGAGCTGGGTAAAAATTCACTTTAAAGGGTTAATCTCTAAAACACCAAATTTTCCCAATTTTCAATGCATAATTTTTTTCTTCATTTGAATACTAATCCCAGTTGATGTGTACATTGAAATTATTTTTGGTTTTTTGTGGGAGAAGAAAGGTGCTGTTTTAAACTGATGGCTCATCTTACCTTTAGTGATATCTTAGAATAATGGACGTGAAAAATCCTCACATTTATAAGAAAAATATTAAGAATGCCAATGGAGGGAATTCCCTGGCTGTCCAGTGGTTAGGACTCAGTGCTTTCACTGTGGGAGCCCGGGTTCGATCCCTGGTTGGGGAACTAAGCCTGCATGCTGCACTGTGCGGCCAAAAAGAAAAGAATGTAAATGGATAAGTGATGAAGGAGAGTGCAGATAATTTACCTAAGGGTGGTTAGTAGAATCCATGGAAAACGTGTAACCTCAGTGGTAATGAAAGAAATGCCCATTTTAAATAATAGTAAGAGCCACACTAACTTTCTTGAAAGACGTAAAAGAAAAATTGACTCAGTAGACCATGTTCCTCAAAGAGAAGCCTCAATCTTGTAATTATTTCTTTCCAAATAAATCTACAAATTTCATGTTTATCCAGTGAAAATAAGGAGGGTTTTTTTTTTTCCTGAGGGAATTCAACACAATAATTCTAAACTCATTTGGTAGAGCAAATGGCCAAGAAAAAATTTTAAAAAGAATCAGACCATTTCTGTATCCTATACCAGAATATATCTGAAAGGTATAGCAATTAACATGGCATGCTTACTAGGAATGGATAAATATATCAGTGGAGTAAAGTTGGAAATCCAGAAATGGATTTGTATGGATTTGGAAGTTTAATATGAAATTATGAAAGTGGTACTTGACATCACTAGAGGAGGTCTGGATAGTTCACTAGAGTGTGTAAATTTGCTTTCCATTTATAAAACATAGACGCCCCTAAGTTCATGTCAGTAAAGTAAACTCTAGAAGATGCTCAACCAGTCAGGATAGACATGAGCGAGAACAACCACACAAGTTTACCCGCTGGATCTAAACTCTGAGTGTTGTTATTTTAAAGTTTTTCTACAAATTATACATTTTATACTTATAAATTTTTAAAATCATGTTTTTAAACAAGAAGAAGAAATAGTGCTTGGAAATTGTTTATGAATCCTCGTACTTATAACATTGCCCTGACTGCACCTCTCCTTTCTGTCTCTCAACGTGGGAATGAAGTGGGGCTCCAGGAAGAGCCTCCTGGCAGTGAACAGCATCAGCTCCGTGCTCATCCTCCGCGAGCAGGCCATGTCGTCCCACTTCCACCAGCAGGTGGCCGCGGTGCAGGTCTCCCCGAGCCTACTCAGCGTGTCCTTCCTGTCCACGGGGGTGACGCACAGCCTGCGTACAGACATGTACATCAGCGGAGTGTTCGCCACCAAGGTCACTGCCAGGGTGACCATGGGCTTGGGCGGGATCATCGATGCAGATGGAAGACCTGGTCGGTTGTTAGGGTCATTCGGGACAACGAGGCCCAGACGGCCGGTTGCTTTTTAATTTCCATGGTTCTTTGTAGGATGCTGTTGCCGTCTGGAATGGAAAACAGGTGGTGATCTTTGAGCCTTCTGGAGCCACATTACGAAGTGCAGGTAGGAGTCTTTTCAGCCCCACGAAGGGGACTCACATCTAATGGGGGTGGGTGCTGGTGCCTGTGAGGTGGGCAAAGGGCAGGCCCAGGGCCATGGTGAGACCCTTATGTCAGTTCTCGTGCCTGGGCCTGCGTTTCCAGAGCCAGTGCTGCCACTCTAGCCCTGTGCAACCAGGGCCTCCCCAGCCTCCCTATAGAAGCCAGTTGAGGTAGTTAAGTGCAGCCAGATCTGGGGCCAGCAGCCCTCCTGGGCTCCAGGACGATGAAACAGCTCAGAAATAAGTCGGCATGAGTGTGAAGAACCACAGTGCTTTCCGGAGAAAGGGATGCTACACACCTGACTTCTGAACTTCCCAGAGCACGCACAGCAGTGAGCCCGTGGGGTCTCGATCAAGGCCAACCTCTGTCTGAAAATTTCAGGGTGGATCTTCAGAGCTGTTCCACCTGTCCCATCCATCGCTCCGACTCTCTGTTTCACTTTATCTTCTGCTCTTTAGCACATGTCTGTATGAGTTACGGGGCTGCTGTAACAAGGACCACAAAACGAGTGGCTGTTTAGGAGTTATTCTCTCACAGTTCTTGAGGCCAGATGTCCAAAATTAGTTTCACTGGCCAAAATCAAGGTGTTGGCAGAGCCCCAGAGGCTCTAGGGAAGACTCTGCTCCTTGCTTCTTACAGCTTTTGGTGGCTGCCAGCAATCCTTGGCTTGTGGTCACATCATTCCAGTCTCTGCCTCCACTGTCACATTGTTCCTGTCTAAAAATCTCCCTCCCTCTTATAGGGACACTTGTGATTTCATTTGGGGCCCATTTGCATGATCCAAGATAATCTCCCCGTCTCAAGACCTTAACATCTTTGGCCATATAAGCTAATATTCATGGGTTTCGGGGATTAGGACCTGATCTCTTTGGGGACATCTTCCCACCAAGCACAGTGACCATCAGGACGTGCTCCTCAGCAAGGTCTCCTTCTGCACAGTTCTTGTCTTCACCTGTCCTGACCTAGGCCCTCCTACCTCACAGGGGGACTCGTCATTGCACTGTTCCCAGGGTGATGCCCCCACGTGCTTGTTTGAATACCTCACACCTCCCTGGGGATGTTTTTCCACAGGTTATCAACTCTCTCCCTCATATCATTCCCTCACTTTTTTTTCCTCCTCTAACACTTTGTTGCCTAAAGTTCACTTAGAACACTTTTCCCACCCTGCCCTGCATCGTGCTGATAATTCACATCTTCGCCTCTCTTCTACCATAGATCCCTTGAGGGGCAAGGGTGAACTTATCCTCCCAAGAGGATAGCACAACAGGTGCTGAGCTACTTTCTGTTTTGTGTGTGTCATCATCTTCCTAACTAGATAAGAACCTGTCTAGAGCCAGAGACTAGAGCTTGTGGTCTCCAAAGTTCCACATAAGATAAGCAGATGCTTGAACAATCATGCTGTCATAGATGCTGTGCTACTGGAAGCACCACTGCTAGATGGGAGAAAAGAGGAGAGACCATCAGTGACTGGTGAGGGCAGGGTGCCCAGCACTGAGTCCCCACACCTGGCCATCACCGGCAGCTGTGGCCCTGGGAGGCCCCTGTGTCTCAGAGCCTCACTTTCCTCATCTGCAAGATAAAGAAAACACACCTTTCACAAGGCTATTGTGGGTGCCAAGGAAAATTAGGGAACACACATGAGAACACTTCTTGACTATACCACAGCTCCACCCCTTCTACCCGTCTCACCGTGCTTCCTTCTTTATATCCTTAGTTGTAGAAGGAAAACCTTTTCTGCTAGGTTTCAGTCTTTCTCATCAATAGTTGCCCTACAAAAAGTTCTAGTTTTAGTGTGAGAATGCTTCGTAAACTCTAAGGAGCTATGACGAGACTAGCTGCTGCTGTCCTGACCTTTATCTTTAATTTTAGGTACCTTCCTGTGTGAGTCTCCAGTGTTAGCCATGCACGAAGAAAACGTTTATACGGTGGAGCCAAACCGAGTCCAAGTTCGAACGTGGCAGGTAAATTGCTGCTCTAGAGTGAGTGGCCTGTGACGTTAAAGACAATTAGAGCAGAGTTTAAAATGCCATCTCTAAATCAAGCCAGAGCCTGCTTAATGACTTCACTCAACCACATCAGATTGCCCCCACTGGGTGCTTGGTTGTAAAAATGGATTGTCGGATAGCGCCTCCATCGACAGCTCTTGTGACTTCAGAAGTCAGGAGGTGAGGCAGTGGCCTTTTGCAGTGAAAAGGACTACATGGCTGGACCTTGAGTGCTTGGGGGTGTGAAATGGGAGGAAATTTTGCTGTGTTTAATGCGCATCTTGAGGGCTAAGGGGTCGTCGGTTCAGGACATATCTTTAGGCAGACCTTTTTCCCTGCATGTGTCTGAGGGAGAGGCCAGGATGGGAGCAATGTGTGCCTCCAGGATTACAGGCCTTTAACACACCATTCTGTTCCCTCCGGGTGGTGTGCAGTAAGGAAACCCTGCCCACATCCCGTGCACACTTGCTGGACCCTCAGGGCTGACATGGTGTATTAGTTTCCTGAGCCTGCCATAACCAATGACCACAAACTTAGTGGCTTAAAACAATAGAAATTTATTTTCTTTGCAGTTCGGGAGGCCAGAAGTCCTAAATCTAGGTGTGGGCAAGATTGGCTCCTTCTGAGGCTCTGAGGGTGAATTTGTCCCATGCCCCTTCCAGCTTTTGGTGTTGCCGGCATTCCTTGCGTTCCTCAGCCTGTAGACAGATCACTCCAGTCTTTGCCTCCATCTTTACATGGCCTTCTCCCTGTGTCTTAGAAGGACACTTGTCCTTGGATTTAGGGTCCACCCTAATCCAGAGTTGTCTCCTTTTGAGATCCTTAATTATATCTGCAAAGACCCTTTTTCCAAGATACATCCAAATGGATGTATCTTTCAGGGGCTACCATTCAGCCCAGTACATGCAATAGTGTTCTGCATCATGGTTGAGGACATTTGTTATGGCACTGGTTTTAGCTCTCAGTATGACTGCTTTGTCCAGCTGTGAGTTCTTTCCTGGGGTCCAGCATTTGATTTCCCAGGGCTGCCATGTCCGTGTCCTTGTACCTCACAGCCTGCACGTCCACTCTTGCATTCAGCAATTCCTGAAAGAGCTTCCATGCAGTTCTACTTTCTAGCAGGAGGGTCAGACAGTAAAGGTGCACACTGAAGTGTGGAGGTGGGTGGGAAGTATTGCAGGGGGTGGCATTGGAATAGAGACCTGACAAGTCAGGGAAGCGCCCGCAGCCCCACTCGCCTCCTGGGGCAAAGTGCGGGTGGAAGGAGCTGGGGCCTGTTGAGATACCTGCCCTGCTTCAGGTCAAAAGGGAGGCAGAGAGGCTGGAGGGAAGTAGGGATGGGCCTTGCATACTGCTGATAGTTGTGTAGGGGCATCAGCTGTGGACATAAAGCCGAGGCAGGGAGGGGCCCTCCTAACAAAAGATGAGGGAGCAGCTGGGTTATCAGAGGGGTGACCTGCGGAGCTGGAGAGTGGAGGCATGCAAGGAAAGAAGGAAAGGTCTGCAGGGAAGGGGCGAAAGGCATACTGGGAAAGAAGGATAGGCCTGCTGGAAAATGGGGGAATGGCGTACTGGGAAAGAATGATAGGTCTGATGGGAAGGTCCAAAGAGCATGCTGGGAAGGGGCAAGAGGCATACTGGGAAAGGGGCAAAAGGCATAATGGGAGAGAATGAAAGACCTGCTGGGAAAGGGCGAAAGGCATGCTGGGAAAGAAGGATAGGCCTGCTGGAGAAGGGGGAAAAGGCATACTGGGAAAGAATGATAGGCCTGATGGGAAGGAGCAAAAGGCATGCTGGGAAAGGGGTGAAAGGCATACTGGGAAAGAATGATAGGCCTGTAGGAAGGGGTGAGATGCATACTGGGAAAGAAGAAAAGGCCTGCTGAGAAGGGGCAAAAGGCATACTGGGAAAGAATGATAGGCCTGCTGGGAAAGGGCGAAAGGCATGCTGGGAAAGGGGTGAAAGGCATACCGGGAAAGAATGATAGGCCTGCTGGGAAGGGGTGAAAGGCATACTGGGAAAGGGGTGAAAGGTTTGCTGGGGAAGGGGCGAAAAATCAGCTGGAGGGAACTTAGGAGCGTCTGACCACAGACAGTCTAGAGTTTAGACTTTTTTGTTGATTTTTAGGTTAAGGAATATGTGACCATGGTGATTAGTAAAGTAATGCCAGCCTGTGTAAGGAATCCATTAGCACCTCTCCTCTCGTCGGAAAGCTGGAGTGTGTCTCCAGACCTTTCTCCCTGCCCGTGCATCCATGACACACAAACTGCAGTTGTTGCTGGTTTGTGTGGTGATGGGCCAGCCGTTATGTACCTCATGGTTCTCGCAGAAGCTTCCTCCAGGCGGGAGCGCAGAGCCCCCGCTGGTTCCCGTGCTCTGAGCGGGGGCTGGTGTCTGACAGACACCCGTGGAGGCAAAGCCTCGGGGGACCATATGGAAGTTGGAAGGCAGGAGGTGTGGAGCCCGAGTAACACGGTGCGTTTTGGCTTTTTTCTTGGTTTTGTGTTTTCTTCCTAGAAGATCATTTCTGTGTGGGAAGGACTAGGGCAGCTGGTGAGCAGTGAAGGCAGGTAGGAGAGGCCACAGGTGAGAGGTCCGGGGGCTTGGAGTGCGACAATGGGCAGGGAGCCAGGCCAGAGTCAGCAGTTAGGGGCGTGGTGAGCAACTGGTGTAGGAGGGAGGAACTGAGGACATTCTAGTTGTCTAGTTTGCAGGTCTGTGCTAATTGTGGAGCCTTAAGGTGGAAAGTACAGAAGCAGAGCAGGGCTGGGGGGGAAGGGTGCAAGTGTGAGGTGCCTCGGACACCCTTCAGAGATGTCCCAGTGTTACCTGAAAACGAGGTTCGCCTCTCGGTGGATGTCAGCCAATAGACACAACCAAGCTAAGATCGGGAGAAGGAAGGATTTATTACTTGCAGCCAGGAAGGAGAACACGGGGGATCTTTCCCAAAACAGTGTCTCCCTGAACAGCAAAATTGGGGAAGTTTTAAGCTAAGGGCACAAGCATATTCACAAAAGCGTTTGAGCAGAGAATTCAGGGTAGAATTGGGGCAGAGGTCAACAGAGTCCAGGCTCTGTGGATTGAAGTCAGTGGGCGGGAGCGTTACTTCCTGCAGAACTCAAAGGTGTATTATTATGTATATCCCTTGAGGAACCAGGACCTGCCCCAAGGCTGCTCCTCCCTTGTTTCTGCATTCCCTCCCTAAGATCATTAATTGCTGAGGCCTGTTCTAGGACCAGCACTGTGGCCAGGCTTAGATCACAAAATGGCTTAGGCTAAAATGGGTCCTCTTATGTCAAGAATACCAGTCCTGGTTCTCTTTCTCCAGGAACCCCCACCCCCACCCCGCCCCAGCCTATATTCTTACACCAGAGCCAGCTGGAAACACTGCTCTGGAGGCAGGAGCCCAGGCCGCGCTCTGAAGCGGGGGTTGGGAATTGGGACATATCATTGAGGCAATGTGGAAGGAGAGGAGGTCAGGTTTGCACTGCGTAACAACGTGTCAGGAGCGGCAGAGGAGAGGTCGAGCAGAGGAGGCTGAGACCCTCGCTCTGTCCTCACCAGTGAGCCTGTCCTCACCAGTGAGCCATCGCCTGTGACTGTTGTTTGCTTGTTCCACAAACGTATACTAACCGCCCTACTGGGTGCATCAACATGAAGATCAGATTCCTCAGCTTGGAACTCACCCCCACGCTGTTTATCCCTCACTCTGAGTTTCCTGGACGGGTTATGCAGCTTCCTGGCCTGCTCCTCAAGTCTCTGTGCCTGGCACTAGGAGTCTACTAAGTTCTGTTGGAACGCCCCCCCCATCCCCGATCGTCCAGCCTGCTCCCCGCTACCCCTGCACTGGGACCAGGCCTCCACCTGCCGCCCACTCACTGTTGGGGTGCCCTGCTCCCAGCCCAGCACCATGCCACGCAGACACTTACTGGGCGCTGCTTGAATTGAGCCAGGAGCCTCTCTCAGCTCCAAGGACAAGGGTGGGTCCATGCACAAGACACACGAAAGCCTAAGCTCTGTGCAGGCCTGACTGTAGTCACTCTTTCCAAAATGCTCTTAAAGTAAGAGTGACACTTTAAAACCCTCCAGAGTCTTCCAACTTCACGTAGAACAAAATCTGACTCTCCACCTTGGCCTGCACTGATTACCCACTCGGGTAAGTGATTTGAAATCACCTGTGGCTCAAAACCCTCCAGAGTCTTCCAACTTCACATAGAACAAAATCTGACTCTCCACCTTGGCCTGCACTGATTACCCACTTGGCCTCTGCTCACTGCCCACCTCGGAGGCCACCCCTTGGCCACCGCATTCCTTCCTGCTGTGCTGGCTCCTCCTTGTCCTGGAAAGCCAGGTTCAGCTCTCCAATAGGTGGCTCCTTCTCCCCAGTCTCAGTTCAGGTTTGTCCCACAGACAAGACCTGTTTCTCAGGCATTTACTGACGTATGATGTACACACAGGAAAGCAAGCATGTTGTGTGTGCAGCTCAGTGAGTTTTCACAGATGGACGTATCCGTGACGCGACCACCATCCCTTCCACTCACGGCCTCCCCTGGATGTGACCACTTAGAGGACACTAGCCACACAGTCAGTTTCATTGGGGCTTTAACATAAGACCTTGCAGGCAGTACCTCCTGGACCAACCCAAGCAGGTGGAATTCAATGTCTCGCCACCTTGATAGTTTTGTTTTAGCATCCTGTCCGTCACCTGTCTACACTTGCTCAGGTTGAGTTATGTGTGTACTTGCTTGTTGACCTGGCTGCTACCTGTCTCCCCCTCTGAACATAAGCATCAGGGATCCCCCCGGGGCAGGGCCCCGTCCTCCCCTCCCCGTGTGGGGTGAGACTCCAGCAGAGGGCAGGGCCCTGTGAATAAAGCCTCCCTGAATTCCCTGTTCCCTCCTTTTTTCTTCAGGGGACTGTGAAACAACTCCTGCCATTTTCCGAAACAGAGGGGAACCCATGCTTCTTTGACATCTGTGGAAATTTCCTGGTTGTAGGGACAGACTTGGCTCACTTTAAAAGCTTTGATCTATCCCGAAGGTACAGTGTTTGTCCAAATAAAAGTATTATATTTTTAAAATTAGTCAGGAGGTAGTGTGGTGGGTAGAAAATGGAGAGGAGGAAGCAAACTGCTTACGTTCTCATTTCAAACATTAATGTGCAACTTACTTTTTTGAAATGTCTTATGTCTTGATTTAAATTCTTCATCTTTGCATGAAGGGTAAGGGACCAGCATCACTATGTGATGGACACATGACAGTGCATTTGTCAAAATCCATAGAACTTTACAGCTCAAAGTGAGCCTTAATGTCTGCAAATTTAAAAAATCAGTTCAGGGGATCCCAGGATGGAATGCAGACGAGGCAGGACTACCCACCATTCGTGAGTGTGTGGAACTGCCTCCCTGGGAACCAGGTGCCGCCTGGGTCACCCTGGCACCGAGTGGGACCGTGAGACTAAGGGCTAAGGGGCCGCACACGGCATGTGCTCTGCAGACGAAGTCAGTTCCCACGGGGCTCGGGGAGCAGTACCCACACTGCCATCCAGGCTGGACATGAGCAGCCGAAGGATGGGATGGGAGCCCGAGGGAGCCAGCTTCTCGCCTGGGTGGGAGGTTCCAGATCAGCAGGGGTGGAGGCTGGAGTGACCCCTGTGCTGGTGCATCCAAGGTGGAGATGTGAGTCTGAAGTAGAGTGCAGCTTCACGTAGACGCAGGTGGATGCGTATAAAGTTACCATGGCTACGAGGATACACACCAGTCAGTATACACACAGCCTTGCTCTGTCAGCCGTGGGGGCCTGAGGGCAATGTCACCCCAAGAGCAACGAGCACATCCCGTGCCCGGATCTGGGTCTCTAAGTCCTACAGTAAAGGGAACTGATCTCCTCGGAGAAATGATGCTGGGACTGATACTGGGACTGGAGCAGGAAATACACCAAATGAGCCTGGAGACTCTGTCCCAGCCCAGAGGGGCCCAGGGAGACGAGACAATTAAATGTCAAGTGGGGCCTGGACAGGGGCCTAGGACAGACAGAGGACACTAGGAGAAAAGTAAGGAAATGTGAATAAAGCAAAAAAAATCATAATGAGATACCTCTACAAGCCAGCGTTGTTTCTAATGGCAACAAACTGAAACAACTAAACAGGGAATTAATTAAATAAATTTTAGTTTGTCCACACAGCGGAAAAGCACACAGCTGTAATGAAGTATGGGCAGCAGAGACCCCGGCCAGCTGTGCTATGGGGACGATGAAGCAGCCTTAATAAGCTGCTCCTGTGTGAGACAGGGACAAAATACGTGTTCGTGTTTGTTCACAGAAACAGAATTTTAAAACCTCACCCACCAAGTAGCAGATTGTTATGTTGTACAGCTGAAACTAAGATAACGTGTGTGTCAATTATACCTTGACAAAAAAAATGTAAAAATAAAAAATCACCCTATGTTCTGAGCTCAGCCCATTTCCTGGGTCTCACATTACCGAAGTGAGAGCATTTGGGCCCAAGCGGAGCTCAGTTCTCTGGGCCCAGGTTCCAGGCCGCAAGGAGAAGGGGCGCCTGCCATCCCACGGCGGTGCCACTGAGACCGCGTCCCTCCCCGCAGAGAGGCGAAGGTGCACTGCAGCTGCAAGAGCCTGGCAGGGCTGGTCCCCGGCGTTGGGGGCATGGCCTCCCTCAGGTGCAATGCCAACGGCAGCAAGATCAGCATCCTCCTCAGCAAGGTGAGTCCGCTCGTGCGCACAGCTCCTCCCACCCCTCCAGCTGGCCCTTCTGTGCCCCACACCCGCGCTCTTGACGTCCCCTCCTCCCGGCCGGGCGGAGTGGTGGGGGAGCTTTCTGTCTGGCCTCTCCTCTTGCCTGGGGCCACCCTTCACCTCCCCACCTTCCTTCACTCCCTGTTTCATCAGGAGCAGTGGTTTCTGCTTTGCAGAGACCCTCACCTCTTCCCTTTTCTGCCCTTTCCATCACCCGACTAAATTCTCTGGGCACCAGGGGTGATGACTGTGGAAGGACCTTGGAGCCTCTTGCTTAGAGAGACACACGACGTGGGTGTGAAGGAGGCAGGTGGCTGGGTCGCCTGTTCTGGAGGAGCTACTGCCTTCCCACCCGGCAGTGTCTGTTCATGCTCTCCTCATGCATTCACTCACACGTTCATTTGCTCACTCATTCACTCATTCATTCACTCACTTATTTATTCACTCATTCTCTCACTCGTTCATTCAAGAGTGGATTGCTGGTTGCCCTCCATGTACCACACACTTTGCTGGCCACTGTAAACACAAACTGATCGGTTAAATCGGGGAATCGGCCCCTCCCCTCGGAGAAGCAGACTCGAGTAAATTTTTACAACCATGGTGAGAGCTGAGAGGAGAGGTGAAGGGCTGGAGGTCAGTGGTAGGTGGAACAGCTCTCAAGAGTTCCGGAGGCTTCCAGGGGAGGTGGAGGTTGAGCCCAGGTGTGGGCTCGCCAGGTGGGCAAGTGATGGGGGCACAGCCCCGCCAAGGCGTCAGAGTGCGACCCCGTGGCAGAAGCATGGCTTCACCAAGGTCTCCGGTCACTGGCAGAGGGGGAGGCCCAGGCTGAGTGGTCAGTGGGCGGCCCAGGCTGAGTGGTCAGTGGGTTATCACAAGGTGGAAGATCCCTTGGGGCCCATCACAGCCATACTTGGCTGTAGGGCAGGGAAGGACAGGGTCTGAGAGGAGCTGGGTGAGGAGCCTTTGGGGGACGGAGGGGGGGTCCTGTCTGGTTGTTGAGTTAAGGCATTTGAAGGGTGGCCTGTGGACAGTTAGACACAAGCCTGAGTCTCAGCCAGGAGGTCTGGCTGGAGGTGGGGGTCCTACCAGCCGGAGGCCAGGGTGGACCTGGGGAGGCTGAGGGAGGGGAAGCAGCTGAGCTGATGGGGAGAGACAGGCAGGCACCGCACACCAGGCAGTCCTGGGTCACTCATTCCTTCAGTGGCCAGGACACTGCCCGGGCATCCACACACAGGCAGGAGACACCCACACAGGAGGTAGGCAGGGTATCGGGACGTGGTGCTGGGCAGTCCCGGGAAGGGCATTTTCCTTGGTGCTGGGTGTGGACGCTGGTGAGAAGTGCGGACTGCTAAGTGACCATTGTCTCCGGAGGCCTGATTCTAAAGAGCAGAGCGAGCTTGAGGGAGCTCAACGCTCAGACCAGGGTCAGGAATGCTCGCCCTGGTGAAAGAAAAAATCAAAGAAAGAAAAGTTGAGCTAGGTTGAGGGGGCTTGCAGTGAAAGATAGCTCCCCTGCCCCACTGGCACTCCCCAGGGGAGGAGAGGCTGGGAGAAGCAGGAGGAGGAGGATGGGATGGAGCCCCTCTCCTTGCAGACGGGGCAGGGTGGGTGTGGTGTCTGGGGTGGAGACTGAGTCCTGGACCACCTTACCATGTCCCAGACACTTCGTTGTTTGTCATTTTGCTTAGGGAATTGTGATGACTAGGAGCTTGTGTTTTTATTTAGTCAAACCTATTGATGATTTTTAATTTGTGATTTCTTCCATTGCTTTTAAGCTTACAGTATTTTCTTTTGTCTAAGATATCAGTAATTTTTCATTTTCTTGCCTTTCTTTTCTTAAGTAAGCACGTCCCTTTACCGTCCCGGTATCTGTGGGGATAAAGGTTTAACAGTCTACATGAGTTCTTGGCATTTTGCCCCAACAACCAAGCTGGTTCCCTTTTCTCAGCTTTTCTGGAGCTTCTCTATGGTGTTCACTTCATTTTTACTCACTTGCGTGAGAATTCGTTTATCACAATCTCGGTCCCTCCTTGTGCCCATGGTTAATCCACCTCAGGTAAGATGACATCACACTCACGTCTGTATTAAGAACAGCTAGACAGCCATAGTCGACCTGCACAGTCTGAGAATTTGTCTTCAGTTTTCTGAAATTAGAAAGTAGTAAATCCATAGCCATTTCAGCAGGATGAACGTAAGCTGACGTTCGAATTACGAATGCTGGAGGCCCGCTCATGGGAGCGGCTGGGTGGATGACTCGGGCATCTCTTCCAGGCGTGTGGCTCTCAGTGGGCGGGTACCCTGAGCTCCAGCTCTCTCTTCCCCAGGCTGACAACAGCCCCGATTCCAGAATCTGCTTCTACGACGTGGAAATGGACACAGTGACCATCCTCGACTTCAAGAGGGGACAGATAGATCAGAGAGAGACATTGTCCTTTAATGGACAGGAGACTAAGAAGTAAGATTGTGGTTTGGGAGGATTTTGTTGAAAAAAATGTTGAAAACGATGTTCAGTTACTTGTTGGCTTCGAGGCAGGTTGTTGCTAAGTTTACTTCACCCTTGGAAGAGCTCAGAGATCACGAGTGGTGGAAACCAGAGGTGAAATAGAAACAAACTCCCCTGGTCAGTCGGGGTGGACTTGAGTCTCTAATCTGTTTTCCAGGTTCTAAGGTTCTGGAGTCATGGGGTCAGAACTCGAGCTTCTGAAAGGGCTGCAACTCGAGTGTCCACAAGGGCAGCCTGAGTCTTGGGGCACAGAGGGCCCATCAGCATCTCTGTTGGCATGGAGAGTGTTTCTGAAAACACAGTGGGGCATTGGTGGGTATGCATTCTTCAGGGCATTGATGTACCACGTGTGTGAGGGTCCGTCTCTCTCTTTCAGAAGCCAGGCCCTCGCAGATGAGAGGCTGACGAATCTCGTGCCTGTGAGCCACTTCTGGGATCAGAGTGAGCCCAGGCTGTTTGTGTGTGAAGCCGTGCAGGAAGTGCCGGGCGCCCCGCTGCAGCCAATGGACAGGAAGGCCCTGGGCGAGGCCAGCACAGGCCCCACGGTACCACATGCTGTCGCCTTTGTGTTTAGATTGGTGGGGACGTGGCAGGCTCTGTCTTCCCAACATGGTCCACAGGGAAGTTCTGGGGAATGGATTCAGGAGAGCAAGCGCTCACCCCCAGGATGCCGGGGGACACCTATCCCCTCTGGGTTGACACTGAGGGCTGGCCCCACCCTCTGTCACGTGCCATTTTCTCTCGGCAGCTCAGAGCTCTTTATCAAAACAGTTAACATGAACTTACCCCTTGATGTCAGCTCATCCTGTGGGGTCCAGTTACTGAGGCCGACTCCTCAGTCATCCCCCGAACAATGGGCCCCCTCGCCCCTGTCTCCACCCCAATCCCCGGCTTTGCAGGGCCTCCCTCCCCAAAACTGGTGACTCTCGGGCCCAGGACTCCAACACTTTCCAAGTCTTGGGTCCTGCAGGACACCCAGCGATCCCTGAGAAAGCCCGGGGGCTGCATGTGCCTCTCTGTGACCCAGAGGGATCTTTCGTAGGGTCCTCAGTAGGTCAGCAAAGGCCAGCCGGCCCTAGAGCTTCAGGTGACTTGTGTCCCTGCCAAAGGGACTTCCTTCCAGGATGTGAGAGGCTGGATCCCCTGAGGCTACCAGCAGCGGGTTTCCACACCCTGATGTTTTCAGAAGCAAATCGGTCTCTGGGTCTGAAACAGGAGTGGCGAGAGGGGCCCTGTTGGCATCTGTGTCACTGGAGTGGAGACTCAAAGATGAGAGAGAGGGTCTAGTGACGAGCAAGTTGGGGGCACTCGCTCCCACTTGGAGGGTCGGGGCATGGCCGGCGAAGGGCTCCTGGTCTTGGGTGAAGTTGGTGAGGAGACGCAGGCACTCACACAGCAGGGCAGCCACCAGCCCCTCGGCCTCCGCGTCTCCTGGGCAGAAGTGTCTGCGGCCGAGTCCTGCAGGACAGGGTCCCGCCGAGCATCGGCCTCTCCACTGTCCCTGCCCGAGAGCAGAGCAGAGTCTCCATGTCAAAGTCAAGAAACTGAAGGGGCTACTCTTGAAACACGGGAGCTCCTGAGCTTCACTCACCAGCGCGGGTGGAAGGGTTAGTTTTCACCACAAGGTCAGCGAGATGGGTCTAGTGGCTCCCAGGCCGGACGAGGTGTGTCCTCCAGGAGGGGCGTCAGAGAATAGCGGAGCCTGGTGTCGTTGCTGTGTGCCCCGAGGAGGAAGGGGGTTATCTGTGTGCCCATGTGTTGGCCCCTCTACTTTCTTTGTGTTTTATGTAAATATGCCAGCAGTGAAAATGGGATTGGGCGAGATTCAGGAAAGTTACTGCCAAACTAAGACAGAACGTCTCCCTCTGCAGGCAGACGTGCTGGTCCTGTCTTTCTTCGTCTCTGAAGAGCATGGCTTCATGTTGCAGGACAGCTTCCTCCGGCCTCCCGTCTTCCAGACGCTCCTGGGAATCCAAGTGCCCCATTATTACTTCATGAGAAAGGTGGGAGCCTCCATGTGTGCGGCCGTGTCTCAGGCCCTCCTCCCCACCGGGGCTCTTCCGTTAAACAAGCAAACCGTGTGCCCTGATTTGTCGCCTGAGATTCCCGCAGATCCGAGGTTTCTGTGTGGGGAAAGGCAGGCAGGCAGCAGTGCTGCTGAGGGTTGTCCCTTCCGGCGTCCCCCAAAGGCACCGTACCCTTCCACTTTCCTGTCTTCTTTTTAAAAATTCTAGCTGGTTTTTTAAAAGTACGTATTCCTATATTCACTGTAGGAAATGCAGAAGCTTCAAATAAAGAAATAAAGACCAAGGATGCTGCAAATCCCCGTGGTCACAGCCCCCAGAGATGGTTGCTAGGAAAGGCTGGCGGGCAGCCTTTCAGGAGAGGTCTTGTCCTTTGCCCACGTGTGTGTGCGTTACATACACTGGTTGTTTTTATTTTTTTTTATTTTTATTTATTTTTTTGATGTGGACCGTTTTTAAAGTCTTCACTGAATTTGTTACACTGTTGCTTCTGTTTTATGTTTTGGTGTTTTGGCCCTGAGGCATGTGGGATCTTAGCTCTCCCACCAGGGATCGAACCCTCACCCCCGCATTGGAAGGCGAAGTCCCAACCACTGGACCACCAGGGAAGTCCCACGGGTGTGTTTTTAAATTTTTGATCAAACAGGGTTGTTTTCAGCACACACCACCCACCCCCTCCCCCACCGCCAACAAGGGTATTTTGGATGAGTTATTTGCCTTCCCTGGAACCTGGTCTCCACGTCCCCACGGTCCCTCCTAGACCTGAAATCAGCCATCCTCTGCCCTGAGAGGCCATGCTGATCACGGGAGTGGGTGCATCTGGGGGGTAGGGGTGGCGGAATGTCCAGACCAGTTGAAACACTGGCTGAGCCACCTGTTCTCAGCCGGGCGCCAACACCGCCTGCACAGAGGAGGCGTGGCTGCGCTGGGACCTGAAGGCTGCAGCCTGTCGTTCGTGCCTTCCGTTCTGCAGGACTGCGAATGTATGTGCTGGCCGCTGCTGCTCCTATTCTCGTAAAATCTGCAGACTCCTCCCCGTCATCAGCTCTTTGGGCTCCCCTGCCGCGTCTTTCTTTACTGTTGTGTCAGAAGAAGGACTGAAGTATGTAGACTTTTACTTGGATATTTTTTGGCTCTTAGCATAGGGTGATTTAAAATCAACCCTAAACACGAACTCTGTATTTTTTGCCGTTAGCAAGTGTTCCTTTTTTAGCCAGAGGTAAGGGCAGACCCCAGAGGACCCCCAGAGATGGTGGCCCTGCCATCTGAGCTTGGCTATCTCTGCCAGCTCCGGAGCTGAGGCCCCTTGCCTGTGTGAACGGCTGTCTGCTCAGAAGCCAGGACGCAGGTCTCCCCGGGCCCCTCCCAGGGTTATTACTGACCTGAAGAGGTTTGGCAGGAAGGCCCAGGGTGGGCTCTCTGCTCTTTGTTCTGTGACTGTCATGGGCGAGCCATGTGGGTCTGTGGGTCTCAGGCTGTGCTGAAGCCCTCGTGCAACGTGCCTGAGTTGCACAGGCCAGGGTTGCCCCTGGGAACAGTATCCCCAGCCATCGAGGTCGGCAGCGAATAGTCTTTTCTGCACTTTGACTTGTGATCCGATGCAGTGAACTTTGTGAGGCTGTGTGGTTTCGATTCCAGGAGCCCCTGCGCTCCGTCCATGCAGGTTTTCTGAGTTCCCTCTTTTGAATAGACCAGCGCCTCCAGACCAGCATTTTTCTGAATTTCATTCTTATTTAGTGCTTTTATACGTTTTAATTTCTCTTTGATTTGAGACTCAAAACGTAGAGACAGCCTTTGAGCTCCTTCTCTTGGGCGTCTCCCACGTCTTCACGCCTGGGCTTGTTTCCTTCAGTCTGAGCACCATCCTCCCCTCCGCCAGCCCCTCAGCTCTCTTCCCCCCGAGCATCCACTTGGTGCTGTTGGCCCAGCAGAGGCCTGCGTGATGCTCCTCCCTGTTACCTGAGCTTTGCAGTTGCCCCAAGATGTGGTTTTCTTTGTTTTAAGCGACAGCTGTCTGTGTGCTGACACCTCCCACCTCACATGCTCCAGCTTTGTCAGGGGCCTGGCAGGGCGTCAGCTCCTCATTGGGGCAGCACGAACAGTCTTGTCTCCTAATGCTTGCGGTGAGGAAGTATTTCACTTACCTGTGTTTGCAATACAGGAAGTCTTATTCATTTGATCTCTCAGTGCGGGAGAGGAGGGGCCCATGCAGCCTATTTCCCTGAAGCGCCTGGCGTCCCGAGGTTCCTGTCCGCACACTCAAGGGTGTGGTGTCAGTCGAACAGCCCTGGACCCCCAGCTCCCACATGTGTCCAAGGCAGGTGGCTCATCCCCTCGAGAGCAGAACCCAAGGTGAATGCAGACAGGGGGCACCGTGAGCCGTGACCGTGGGTGCACTTGTTTCTGTGAGAATTCCTGCGTGTGCTCGCGGGGAGCAGGGCTCTAATGAGGACGGGGCATCAGACCCACAGCAAGGCTGACGGAGGTCAGGCTGCTGTCTCGTGATTTGTGACACCACAGCAGACAGCAAGTACCACCCCCCATGGTTTTTGTGTCCACATTTTCTGAAGGTTTCCCACTCAGTGCAAAATCAGCCCAAACTTGAGGACTCAGCTTCCCGCCGGATGTGACCCCCCCCACTCGGCCACAAACCCTGACCAGGGCTGCTCTTGGCCTCTGCTTATGCTCTGCCCTGTGCCTGGAGGGTCTCCCCGTCCACACCTGGGTCTGATAAATCCTACCAGGGTTTCAAGGCCCAGATCAAGTACCCCCAAAGTTGGGGGCTACAGTTGAACTTCAGAAGGATCCGTGACAAAGGAGCTACTGGGAACTGAGTCAGAGGCAGGTGGTGAAGGAGTCAGAGTCACAGCAGATACGAAACTGCCAGGGTAGGGGAGTGGGGTCCAAGGAGATGGATCATGAACTCTCTACACGGGGGAGCCTGTGTAATCAGACGAATGGACGCTGCAGGGAGAGAGCAAGCCAGGTGGGAGACCGAGGGGTGTGTGTGCGGATCCAGCCCAGGGGTGAGTGGAGGGCATGGAACCCCGTCTAGCTGGGAGGAGGGAAGTGGACTTGAGAAGGATTTGTGGCTGGAGCTGGTGCAGAAGGCATGGTCCAGACAGTGCACTAAACTGTGCTTGTGCTGGGACCACAGGATTTCCTTCCTCTGCCTGCATTGGGGGTGTGGCGGGGTGGGTGGGGGGCTGCACTAGGTGAAGGTTCTGAGAAGCACCAGCAGAGGGCTCACCACCACTAATCCAGGTTACATTTTGGAAACTTCTACCTGCAGTGATGCTGGCGTCGATTTTAATGCCCTCTGCACATGTACACAGGTCTGACTTGATAGTAAAAGCTCTTTCTAGGAATTTTACAAACGGCCCTGGGAGGTAGGGATTTTCACGCCTGTTCACGGCTGTTGAGCAGCTGATGTTAGTGCCTTAGCGGCTGGCAGGTCCCTGTGCGTTGACAGCCTGCGTCACCCGCTGTCTGAAGCCAGAGCCCCAAGTTCTGCTAACTTCAAGGGGCCTGCAGACGTGCATTGTGTTTGCCGAGAGCATTGCTGAATATGGGGTCTGTGTGCAGAGGGTCCCCGCAGCTGACGAGTACCCCCAGGGAGAGGCCCGGGGTGGGCCCTGGCTTTACAGGGATCCACAAATAAACAGTGCCCTTTGTCGTTCAGCCAGGAGAAGTGGACCTCGAGGACCAGGTGGACTCCGGGTCCCAGCGCATCCCCCAGACAGTGGGCAGGAGGCCCCTGCGGGACTTCGTGGGGCTAGAAGACTGTGACAAGCCCACGCGGGACGCCATGCTCAACTTCACCTTCTTCCTGGCTGTCGGGGACATGGACGAAGCCTTCCGGTCCATCAAGCTCATCAAGAGGTGAGGGTTCTGCTCGCGAGGTGTGCCGCACCCAACTCCCTGTGGCCCTCCTTCGGGTCTCTTCCCTCCCCACGAGTCTCATCGTCGCTGACTCTTCTTGGCGTTCCTGGTGTCTCATGGGTTTTCACTCAAGGGGATGCTGGTGCTGGTGGAAACCTGGTTGTATATGGGCACCTGGCTGGCCTCGCAATGCTCGGTGTCTCGTGGGCTGTGATTTAGTTGTTTTGATTTACTTTACAGTGGACACTTCCTAGTTGAAAGTTCTGCAGTTGCTAAATATTTATAACATCTGTCTGTCCAGGAATAATTGCACTAAACAGAAAAGTTTTTTTTGTTTTTTGTTTTTGGCTGCGTTGGGTCTTCGTTGCTGTGCACGGGCTTTCTCTAGTTGCGGTGAACAGGGGCTACTCTTCCTTGCGGTGCGTAGGCTTCTCATTGCAGTGGCTTCTCTTGTTGCGGAGCACGGGCTCTAGGCACCCAAGCTTCAGTAGTTGTGGCACACAGGCTCAGGAGTTGTGGCTCGCAGGCTCTAGAGTGCAGGCTCAGTAGTTGTGGCACGCGGGGCTTAGTTGCTCCGCAGAATGTGGGATCTTCCCGGACCAGGGCTTGAACCCGTGTCCCCTGCATTGACAGGCAGATTCTTAACCACTGTGCCACGAGGGAAGCCCTAAACAGTAAAGGTTTTGATAGTAAACTCTCAAAACGGCAGGCAAAATGCAATTAAAATTGCTCTTAAGTTGTCAATCAAGGGCTACCTATAAGCAGCTTCCTCTCTGTGCCTGTGAAAATTCAGAGCTTCTCAGGAGCATTTGACAGATTTTAATTGCCAAAGAGTAGAAAAACTATTGAAGGGTGAAATTCAAGTGGGAAGAGGACGGGAGATAGGGCACCCCAGCAACCTTCGTCTGCAGTGATGGGTCTGTAACCCAGAAGCAGCCTGAGACCTGGTCTTGGTCCACAGCAGAGGGGCTTTTCCCTGCTGCAGGTGGGCAAGAGGCTTTTGATCAGGGAAGTGAAGAGTGGCTGGAGGCACTTTCCGTTTCATAGGAACTCGATCACAGACCATAGGTAAGCACATGGCCCATGCAGTATATGTAGTCGTGTATGTAACACTGCTAAGACTGTACAGCTTGAGGTGCCCAGGGGAGGAAGGGCAGCCCTTTGGGTCCCCTAATGTGCCGACTGTACCTCTGCCCTGAGCTGCGCTTCTATCCGTGGTCAGCTCAGACGTGCTTTAAGTCATTCTCTGTTGCTTTATGTTTTTTTAAAGCAACAACCGGATCTACCTCTTGCTCTGACTAAAGACAAATTCCTGGGGCAGCGTGGCCTTCGAATTCCAGACTGGTCACCGCACATCGTCTGGGTAGCAAAGCTAAATGTTTCTTAAAGGGTTGGCCTAGTGTGGGGGCAGCAGCCAGACAGTGACCACCCCCACACCACGACCACGGACTTTGCACAGTGCCCACCACTGTCCCTCGTTTCCTGGGCTGGAAGATGCGCTTCGTGGCACGGGAACAAGCAGCTGCGCTCTCAGGGGACTGTCCTCGCGGGTGTGGCCAGGCAACCCAGCCCGGTCCCAGGGGACGTGGACTGGTTTTGAGCCCCTGAGGCAGCTCTTAGGTGCTTGTGTTCAGCCTGGGGCTTAGTCCCTGCTACAGAGTCAGGTCCAGGGCTGCTGGCACCAGGCTGGTGCTGGGAAGGTCTTCTGTAGCCCACCAAGTTTGGCTGGATGCACTGAAGACTTCTCTAGGGAAAAAAGTGAATCAATCTCTGAAATTTTTTAAGCCAATAGACTTTTTCCTTCATACTGTGCCAACTGTGGACCTGCCGTTGTCCAGCCAGTGCTTAGGGTCTGTAGAAACGGGGATTTCTGAACGGAAACATGAGCGAGCCATGAGTGGTCCCCAGCGCTCTGCCCCCTGGCCTGTAAAATGTGTCAGCTCTTCTCTGACTGCTGACCCACAAAGCTACAGAAGAATAAGCTATATTCCTTCACCACGTGGCAGTGTAATGGATAAAACACAAGTTTTAAACCGTGGTAAGAGGTTTGTGTTTTATTTTAACTTAGGAAGATAATCAGGAGTAAATGGACATCACTAACACAGTCCTGTTGTAAAGCCGTAACCATCTGACTGTAAATTCTGAGTCCCTGGAGGAAGATCACGGACAGTTCAGAACTATTCCCTGTGTTCTGCTTTATCAAAGTAAATATGACCCAGGACGCCCCTCTTGGCAGATACAGAATAAATTACTCCTGGGCCAGGGCAGAGAGCGAGGTGGCTGCCATCCCGGATGTGCCTCTCCGGAGCTGGTCTCCAGGACAAGACGTGCGCGAGCGTGAAGTGGGCCGTGGCGGGGTTGGGGGGGTGGGGGTGGGACGCAGCCGGTATGTGGTCACGCCCTGTGTTCGTGTATAACGTAGTGAATGCGTGTCATACATGTGCTCTCATGGGAAGCCGCGCAGGCAGCGCCCTGCTTCTCAGATGGTCCCTGCGGTGGATGGAGCCCCGAGCGGCCTCCCGCCGCCCTCAGCATGGGGACTCCACGTAGTCGTTGTCCAGCCCGCGGCGGAAGCGTGCGGTCAGGGAGCGGCTGATGACGATGACGCGGGGGGCCATGCAGTCCTCCCTCCTGTGCAGGACGTTCCAGATGAGCATGGCCGCAGCCAGGGTGGCCAGCAGGCAGGCCCCGATGTTCAGGTAGCAAGACCAGGACAGGTTGGTGTACGGGCCGATTCTGTAGAACGTCACCAGCCCAATGACCAGAACAAAACCTGCGGATGAAGGACAGGGTGAGACAGGGAGCGGGGGAGGCCGCGGGTCCAGCCGTGGGGCCACTCCCGCTTCTCCTCCCACCCAACCGTGTCCTTCTGGGGCTGAGAGCCCAGCTCCACTCGGTGCCTTGGGGTCGAGCTGAATTTTATGGGACTTTTGGGTCTGGTGGCTGTTGCGGGGGCTGTCTGCTCAATCCTGACCCTGGATGGTCATAGGGGCTCACGTGCTTCCTGTGACCTGGCAGGTGTCAGGCCACTTCCTTGGCCGCCCTCCCCATGGAGGTGACACTGACACCCACTTCCTCACCCCGGACAGTCCAGGGGTAACTCCGTGGAAGGTCCGCTCTGGCTTATAAACGCCTAATTCATTCAAAGTGAAAGCAAACGCAGATATTTTCTAAGTCTTACCTGGAAACAACTCAGATTTGTATTTAACTTAGTTTGAATTCCTGTTTTTAAGAGTTTTCTTATTCTTAGTGTTTGCTTCCAGAGGAAATATTTTCTTTCAAAACCTGAGACGGCGGAGGGCCTGCACATTCGGGGTGGGGGGAGTGGGGGGGAGCTGAACTGTGGCTGAATAGACTCGGCTGGTTCTAGAATGTCCCCCTCACCCACCCGGTCCCCTGCGGGTCTCCCTCCGTCCCCTCCTCTCTCCAGGTGACACGGGGGGTCCAGGACTGTGCACAGCGTCCTGTGTGGACTCAGTTAAGTCGGCTATGTCCCCTCTCGGTCAGCTGTTAATACCGTCACATCGTCACTTCCATAGTTGTATCTTTAAGGAGCTCCAAAGACTTGATTTTATTAGTTCTTACAATAGGAAAACCAGGATTTCGCACCCAAGATCTGTCAGCTAGGCTAACAGGGCACTGATGTTTGAAAGAGTTCAGGTCTGAATCTGGGCTGGAACCCCTGATGGCTGGGACGGGGCAGAGGCCTCACTCCCATCGCCCCATCCCACCCCGTCCTTCTGAGTCTTGTTGAAAGAAGGCACAACAAGCTCCCTGGCTGGCAAAAAATGCCCAAAGACATAGTGAAAACAAGGGAACACATAAAGTACTTTCATTTGCATTACACAAAACACAGGTCCTAACTCCTTCCCTCACTAACGCAAAACTCGGGTGGCACAAAATCGTGGGCAGAGGATGTACTCCTAGCTGGGAGAGAGGAAGGCCAGAAGTTTCTTTTTGCCAGTGTGCATGACAAACAGAATTAGTTATTTTTAACAGAAAGGAAGTATCGAGAAGCTTTCCATGTATAAAAAGCTCCACAAAGTACCATAGAGAATTAGCACAGGGATTAGTCACCATCACCATTGTTTAGGACACGACCGGGGCAGTTAAATGTTTAATTCATACTTTCTGGAAGGCGCAGAAATGCTTCCAGAATGCTTGTGTTTCTAGAAAACTCCAGCCTGTGCCCCAGCACTAAGTCATGACACAGCTATTAGAATCGTCAGCGGGCATCACTGCTGCCCTTTGCTCCGGGGCCACGCCAGGTCATACATGATCTGGTTTCCTGAGGAAAGCCAGGAGGCCACAGGGAGTGGGGGACCAGCATGAACAGATGTGCAGATGTCACAGTGCAGGGCAGGTGGAGGGGCTGCAGCGGGCAGTTCGGCCTGGCCAGAGCCCAGGGCAGGAGACGAGACAAGTCCAGGAGGGGCTGGGAGTCCTGTCTGGACCACGCTGGGCCCCCGAGGGCCTTTGTCCTCCTCAGGCATGTTGGGTTCCAAGAAATTGACTCACCCTGGTCACCACAGCAGAGGGTGGGGCTCCCTGGGCCACCTAGCCAAGGGGTTTGATGATCTCGGGGGAGTGGGGTCGGAGGAGCAACAGGCCACATGGACCAGCCTCCTGGCCTCAGCACAGATCTGCAGCGTCGTCCATCAGAAGGGAACGGGCGAAGGAACTGGGCTTCCGCACAGCCTCCAGGGCCATCAGCTATCTGACATGGGGTTGGTTTGCGTCACTGAGAACAGAAGACCTTGAATTTACTGCAAGGCCGTCCAGTGGAGACTTGGGAATTGTGAGACCCCGACCTGGACAGGGCCTGACTGAGGAAAGCATGGGGCATGCCAGCAGGGCACACACATGGCCTTGGGACCCGCGACCCACTCCCAGGACTACGCCCGAATGAGACCCTGCTTGTCACAGGTCACAGGAAACGTGACCGGGACCCCACATCAGAGCATCTGAAATGCGCATCCTTGGAGACGAGGTGCTGGGCC